GGTAGTCACAGTAAGTGATCAGAAATATTTGAGATCTCTATTTCATCATGCAAAAAAGAGGAAGAACTGTAATAAAGGGAATAATTAATCTTTTTTTAACTGGCTTCTAAACAAATTAATGAAAATCGGAGGTAGTTGATGTTCTTGGACTTGAAGTAACAACTTTCAGCTCTTGCAGTTATATGCATATAACATCATATTAGCCAGTTTGTAGACTGTTCAAGTTTCATTTTGAAAGCAGTTAATATTTCTTTCATGGACTATTTCTTTTGGAAGGTAATTCTTCAATCTTGTTGCTGATTTTAGGGCCTTGGAAATTCTCACTTCAAATCATTCATGATTTAAGAGGAGTCAACACAACCTGGGAGGTAAAAGCTGGCCACAGTGGCTAGTTTCAGACAACTGGCCTATTTCAGTAATGATGTATTTTGCAATATACCTGCATCTGTCATCTTGTATTATACTGATAACAGAGCCCTTCTGAAATTTTCTTGGCAACCGTCTTCTCATATTTGACTGACAACAAGTCATCTAGACTTGTCCGGTCTAGACAGGTCTGGTTTTGAAAACTGTCAGTCATCTTAAAGGTAGAAAACATTTGGGAGCTAGAAAGCAGTCAGAGCACAGGGCACTACACGGAGTCTGTGTCTCTGTTTAGCCAGGGGCTTTGAAGAGGCACACACTGACTTGTGCAGTTGGAGACTGCTTGTAAACTTTTCACATACAAATCCTTCCTAGACAGGACAGTCAAATGTTAGGTTGATTCAGGCAGCCTTATTTTGTTAGCAAAAGCTGTGAAAGGTTTCTTGTCTTTTGAACAAACTGTCCACCAAAATATTGCATTCTCAAATGAGAAGGTGATTAGCAGCAATATACACGTGCCAGCCAGAAGACTTGTAGAGATAGCAAATATACTAATATACTATAAAACTATTTGCTTAGGTTTTCAGGACAGGTATCTGAAATTTATCTCATTGTACCCTGGAAGCAAGAAAACCGATCGCTATTGTGTGAACTACTGATGAAGACGATGTTGATGAAGGCAAGGAATCACGATTACAAAAACCTGCCTGAGGAGTTGCTTCTCAGGTTACCCATCTGAAACACCTTTTGACTGACACATTAGACCTGGGTTATCAAAGAAAAACTGCAAATGGATTGAAACAAAAGAGCTTGCTTTGGTAATTGTTCTGAAGACTGGTGACAACCGGTACATTTCCACAGAAGACAGAATTAGCTAAGTTTATTCTCCTCTTAGTGCTGTCAGAGGAAGTCAGACTAGGAAAATAACTATAATTAAACTCCACCCATCATCAAATGCAGGTGAAGAGGTCGTAGTTCATGAAATGCATACATGCTATTATAAAGTATCCATACAATTACAACCTGAACACAGGACAATTAGTGATTCACGAGTAATGAGCTAGTATCCTCTCAGAAACATCGGTGAAGTTCTCTAGTTTGATTTGTGACTATGATCTTTTTTTCAGAACTGTATCTGTAACCAGAAAGGAATTTTAAAATGTCACTTCAAAACATTGCCATTTTTTTTAACCTCTAGAAGTACTATTGAAAAAGTAACCAATACACTACTTTCATACTTGTATGGTAATTTTATGGATTATTTATTTATTTATTTATTTATTTTAAAGTCTACTGCCTGAGTGAAGATCCTGGGAAGATTGCATTTCTTGGAGGTCTTTTGAGAGACTTTGCTAATGAAGTGCAAATGTCCCTATATGTCCTAATGTCAGATCAAAAGTCCTTTTATTTCAGGAGCCTGTTTCTAACAGTGGACAACAGATCCTATAAGAGAAGAACAGGCTTCCTTAGACAGCCTTAATATTCACAGTGTGTAATTAATATATTGTTTTTCTCTAATTTTACTTATACAGAGAATACTCATGACAAAGCAACAAAATTAATCTTCATCAAGTAGAATATATGGTATGTAAAGCCCCTAAGTAATCTTACAGCTGACACTAGATTTCAGCAGGTGGTTAGACTGCAGAGATCCTGAGATCCCTGAGAACAAGATACCAGTGCACGAGGGATATCTGTACCAGCTGAAGAGAGATTTCCAGATCTAAAGCTTTCCCGCTCGATACATCAGGCATTGCATTATAGACCTGGGAATTTCTTTTCTTTACTATCTGCTTTACCAAACGGTTCCTCATAAAGGCCTCCACAAAATCATCTTGATTCTTCTTGCATCTTCTTCAGAGCTGAGCCTGTCTTCCATCCTGTTTCCCCAAAGAGTAATGTGTGAACAAAATAACAAACCTCCTCACTTCTGGGTAATCCTCTTCCTCATTACCATGACATCTGTTTGTCATTGTGCTTTTATGTGTTTACTTAATTCTGGTGGTGAACTCCTCAGGTAGTAATGGTGTTTCTATAAATTTCAGTGTCTTTATTGAGCTATGCATACGATCATCTGCAAAAGAGATTATCATTAGGATTGCAACAGCCAGGTCTGCAGGATTGCAGAATGAGTCAGAATGAGAAAAGCTAGTTGCTTTTTTTCTTGATGATGTAATAATATATCAGCTACTCTCTGAACTTTTTACTGAGTTAATGAGAGCGTGGGGAATTCTGAACCTCTGCAACATAAGAAGCTCTCAGGTATGAATGGGCAAAGGGATGATTTCTAAAATGGGAAACCTGCTACGCTTTCACTGGCTGCCAGGTCAGAATACTTTGTCTTGTAAGCAGTCTTTGTTTTTGACAAAAGTTTTATTTTTTTTAACTTAAGGGATAGCTATGCTAATGGAAATTTTCTTACGATACAGAAGTTTGCCGAGGTGTGAATTTTTTTTTGATTTTTTTAAAAATTTCTGGTAACCCTCTCTGTTGTTTAGAGTGGGATTCTCCAAATGGGCTAAGAGACTTCAGTAGGAGATACTTAGACATTCTAGAGTTATTCAGAGAACCTGGAAAATTCCTCTAAAAGGAGTATAGCCTTAGTTAGAGAGAATGAATTGATTTGGTTTTCTGTGATCAGACCTCAGAGATGAGGTCTGAAGCTTTATATTCTCTGCATGTAGATGTCACTGTCACACGTGTTTGTCTTTACATTTCGCTTTGTATTACCTGTATAGTTGGTTGATGGGGTCAAAAATAAAACCTGACAATGGTAAATCCAGAGATTCTGTTAGTGGTTTAAGCAGCACGGGATAGTTCAGCTCTGTTAGGCTCTCACCATGGCCAGGTGTGGGATTCCTTAAACAAGTGATGGCGTATGATTACAAGTGTTTGTAAGTCTAAGAACAACATCTTGCATTATGGAAGATACAGATTACGAAACCACTTCCATTTGATTTTGATGTTAATGCTGTAATGTCTGGTTGCTCCAAGATTGCTGTAACGTGGTACCTGTGGTTATGAGTAATAATTGATATTTAAAATATTACAAAACTATTTAAAAGTATTAAGGCTGTGTAGACTAATTTTGAGATGAGTGCTTGCTATGTGAGGATTGTTCTTGTAAATTTGCATACAGATAGAAAGCAGAAGAATTGAAGATTTCTTGAAGAGAAGTGTTATTTATCTAACGCTACTCCGGAGTGGGAGATGCCAAACAGTAGGTGTCAGCACTGCTTCAGTTAGGCACAAGCTCCCTGCAAATGTTGAGTAAGGCAACCAGAGTTAAGCACAAGTTTGCTGTGTGCTAGACTTCCAGCAAAATGAGTACCTGTAAAGAAGTGCTGAGACAGTGCCTGACACTTGTTATAAACGAGCTTTCTGGAGGAAGAGCTGGACAGTAGACTACATGAGTTGGAAGATAAAAACTGGTATAAATAATCTGTTTTCACTCTGACATATTTCCAATATGCTGAAGGAAAGACTTTCTGAAAATTGTAATTGAATTAGGTTTTGTTATCTAGCGAATTGACTAGAGAGGTTTCTCATAGGGAGACTTAATTTCCAAGGAATATTAAGAAAAGTAGAAAATTAATAACGACTAATGAGACCTAGTAAGCTGAAGAAGGAAAAAAAGACACAGAACTCGGACTGCAGCAGATAGGATTAACTACTGTGCTAGGAAACTTCTGTTGCATTTTGGAATTGTGCAATTTCGTGGTGTGGTTTTAAACTGGAACTAAGTAATTAGAAATCTTATTCATGAAAATGATGCATGTCCTGTCTAGGGGTCTGTGGACGATTCTGCAACAGTTTTGGGGAGAAAAATCAGGAAGATTTAAGCAAGGAAAAAAAATGTGGTTGTATAAACCATATGAAACCAGAAGAAACCACCAAAAAAAAGGAAAAGAGAGGAGACACAAATTCTTCATTGGCTTTTCTGTCTCACTGGCGACATGCACCTGAATCCAGGATGTGATGATTAAACCACAAAAGGTAAGCACAAAGGCCTTTAGAGCCCAGTGAAAATATTTTGATTTCAGCTCAGTGCTTCCTTTTAACGTGCTGAACCAGAGGTTCAGCTCTCTAGAATTGTTTTTAATCTGAACAAGTACATACCTGTGTGAATTACATCCTTGAAGGTGGGTAGCACTGTAGCTTTAAAAGTCTAAGATAAAATGGTGAAAGAGCCTTTCAGGCACTCTACTAAGTTGATAAGGAAGTGCTCTTACAAGGAAGACCTCACTGAACTGAATGCCAGGTGAATGGCTATGCACGGAGAGAAGGAAAGAGAGGGTTTTTGTCGTCAATACTCAGCGGAGAGTTGGGACACCCTTCTTCTCCACCTCTGCAACCATTCCCTCTGGACAATGCCCCCCACCCAGACTTTGCGTTGCATTGCAAAATGCTGGGACTTCCTGGCAGCTGCTGCGGTGGCACCCTGAGTATCCCAAGCTTGGCAGCATAGCCCAAAGGGAATGCAGCTGGATCGTGAGTCAAGTTGATCTGTTGCTATATAAAAGGGGGCGGGTCACTTTGCTTGTTCCAATTCCTTTTCTGTTATTGCTGCTGCAGAAGCACCAACCAAAAGCAGCTGGCACGCCTCTTTGTTGGCCCTTATATAACGTGGGACTTCACAGGTTACTTACGGAGAAATAAAGTCAGACGGTCTTCAGACAGACTCATATTACTTGTCGTGTCGCTGGTGCTCACTTCCCTGTTAGGTGTAGGGTTGCTCTTAGGGGGGAGAGGGGTTGGTGGTGCCCGTGGCCCTATTTGAGTCTATTTTGGAAGGTGTGCAGGATGGCGCCAGACGAGACAGGGGATGAACTTGTTTTCTTTGTGAATGGTAAAAAGGTAAGGAAGATTCCAGCATTCTTAGCTTGCTCCTTGATGGCTTGCTGATTACTTATTTTTCTAGTCTTCTTTTCTTCCTCTGAAGTTCTCTAATACCAGCAAAATTGCTATGATCACTTCTGAATATTAAACTGTCAAGGCTACTTACACTTACTGCTTTGCTTATTGGCTTTTTCCCTTCCTTATCTTTAGTTTTTGAATTATTCAGATAGCAATATAATGTTCCTTTTACAGTTGAGATTTGTTGGCAATAATTTGCTGCCGTTCTGGGGCAACTACTTTTACTAGAAATATTTTCAGTAATTACAATAGATCTGGAAAATGCAGCTCACATATAAGCATCTCTATAATTCATATGTTCAGTAAGTAATTGGGCATTTGTCCTTTAAGAAGTGACCTTAGGAAAATATTTATCCCATTTCCATTTTAGAAGCTAGAAGTCTTTACAATCTAAAACCCATTACCTGATCCTGTTTTGCATATATCGAAAACTCAAGTATCACCCAGGTCAGCTGCAGACAATTCCCCCAGAAGTCGTGGTGCCTGACAGGAGGGTGGGAGGTGGTGCCTGCACACACTGCACACCTTTCAGCTTTTTCTCTCAGAGTCTCATTTCTCCATTTAGACTTCCCCAGCTAGCATTGCAGGCTCTGCTCTGCAACAACTTGTAACAAGTCAAGACTACCTCTTTTAAACTCTGAATACAATTTCTGAGTTTAGCCCGGTGTTAATCTTGCCCTGCCTCTTTCCTCTTTCCTGATACCTGGGTGGAGAAACTTGTGCAGAGCAGCTGGTAGCAGAGAAACCTGGGGAGGGGAGAAGGCTGCTTATCTGCAGTATAGTTTGGGGCCAAGTTTGTGGACATTCATTGTGCCTTCTTCAGGGGTAAATAAGATGCAGAACTAATTTTGGGCTAGAGAATTAGCCTTTTTAATCCCTTGAGGGATCACACGCTATTTTTATTTGGTTAAAAAGCTCTGTGCGCTGCCCTGAAGACTGGGATAGGATTCCTATCAATTTTGCTTTTGTTGATCTTGCGTTCTAATTTAATCATGTGTAAATGTGGATTAGATTGTTGCTACGATCAGGGTGTTTTAGTTCTGAATTTGGATCCCAAGCTAGACTGGAATTTGAACTTTCCAAGGTTTTGTTAAAAACAAAACAAAAAAAGAAACACAACTTGGAAGCATTGGAAAAAACCTGGGACATTTGATGTCAAAGCCTCGTTTTGTCTAATTATCAATTGCTAGCTGAATAATGAAGTTTGCATAGTATGGATTAAAAATTAATCCAAGGTCTCTTTAATGTAATACTGATGTAGAAGTCAGCCCTGGTTCTGCGCTTTTATAAAGGAGACAACTCCTGAAGCTTTGCTTGCACATTTCAGTAATGGTTCATGTCAGTGTTAACTGACTCTTCAGCTGCTAATTGTTGCCAAAAGGATGTTAAAAAGTTGAAGCTTTGTTTTAATTATGACCAGCTAATTGTGTCTTGTAAATGAGATCGTGAAACAGTTGCATAGGACGATGTATGAATTTTCTGCTCTGACAGGTGATAGATTTACCATTAATTTGTCTTGTTCTCTTTCTGTGAAGGTTTTAGTCACTTCAGATCCCTTCCTGTGAGCCCAAATTTTCAGAGTGAGTTGAGAGCTTTTTTCAGTCTTACAACAGGGGATTGCCACAATCATCTATGGCAATCCAGGCCCTATCAGAGGCTATACTGTTATGTTTGGTGGTGGTTTTTGTATTTTAAGTATACTCAGATGGAAGAGAATTGTTCTTCTGGTGCTAGACGAGCTTTAGTTCATAACCAATATGTTGCTCATGGCAGGTATGGGAATGTTTGCTAACTCTTCATATTCAGAGATAGCTGGTGCTTCAGCATCAATGATTGCTTAAGTATTACAGGAGCATTGCTCTGTGTCTATCAGTAGAGAAGTCTGTCTTCCTGGAAAAGACTCTTGGCTAACTCATGGAAAATGTGTTGCAATCAGTAAAGCAGAAGAGAGACTGTAGCTGCACCAAGCTGGTTTTGTGGAACGCTTACAGATGTGGGGTGAGGTAGAGAAGGGGAGAAAGAGCAGGTGTGGGTCCTGAAGGCTGTCAGCTGAAAACAAACCTTTCCTTTCTATCTCCTCTGGCTATGTCCTGAAGTTAAAGAACATGTTGTGAATGTCGTCTTCCTTGGTGCTTTGTAGCAGTTTTCATGGAACCATAGTTCCCTGTTTACAAAACCGTATTGGAGCTGGCCTTGTGAAGAGTTAAAAGGTTTTATCACGTTACCTTGGCAGTCCTTGGTTTGGAGGAAAAAAAAAAAAAAAAAAGATTAAAAAAAAAAAAAAGGCAGGAAACCATAAACCATGAGCTGGAAACCACTACCAGCAGTACCAGCTCATTCCACATGTCGAGACTCTCTCAGCATCATTCCCTGCTCACTCATGCGACCGCAGTTCCACCTGATCAGAGAGGAGGAGGAGGCCCAGAGCCTCCAGTGACTTTGTTTTTTGGTTCCCTTTTTGGTTGTGCTGCCAAAATCATTTGAGCTATGCCCCAAGCAGATGAACATCCAAGAAAGATAACAGATGATTGGACTCATTTGGCAATCCAGTCTGTGGCAACAAACATGGAGTTTGCTGGCACACTTCTGCCTGTGAGAGATTGTGATGAAAGGGGGTGATCAGGAGCTCCTAGGCAATGCTGCTGAAACACCAGGTAGCAAATCAGGGTATGGATCCACCTGTCTGGAGTCCTGACCAAGTATTCCAGTCAATTTGCTGGAGAGACTGTGAAAGCATGACCAGGAAAGGTTACTGCTGCGTGTATTCGTGGCAGCTCTGCATTGCTAATGGGTTGCTGATACTCGTATGCATTTATATTACTGCCATAGTACAAAACTGCACAGTAAGGGGAGGTTGACAAGACAGGGACTTTCCTGGTAGCCAATGCTACTCTTTTGCATTATCCCGGTCTGTCATGTTGTCAAGAAAAAGTCTCAGAAGAGCTGAATACTTCATAGTCTGGGCTGTTTATTTTAAGCACCTCTTTGCTGGGAGTGAAAGTTAGCACACAACTATCACAAAGTTAACTTGGTTATATTGCCTGGATATGATGGAAAACAGCACATACAATTTATAGGAGATAAAGGCAATTCTGGTTTCATCAACTGGAAGGTGTGTTACATACGTAGCATGTAATTTTAGTTCAAACATGCTCAATATTTGTATTTTTATCCTGAATATTAAGGGGGGTGGGGGGAATGTCTGTGTTGGAAACCACATTAAATGGTTTAAAATCAAAGCCTGTGGAATTTTGATTTCAGATGGAGCTGTACAAAATACAGGTATTTCTCTCAATCCATTCTCTGCCCAGCCTGCATTTGTGCTGGGGATTGCCCCAGCCCAGATGCAGCACCTTGCAGCTGGCCTCGTTGAACCTCATGAGGTTTGCACAGGCCCACCTCTCCAGTCCATCACGGTCCCTCTGGATGGCATCCGTTCCCTCCTGTGTGTCAAATGAATGTCCTCCAAGCTCATGACCCTTACCTCTGACCCCACGTCTCTGTCAGCATTGCAGATACACAGCTACAGTGGAGTTGTCTGAAGTTAGTGCAGTAGGAAACTGGGCTGTGAGTGTGAGCTATGAGTGTGGGGTGTTCATGTCGTTGTTCTGCACAGTAGGAGCCACTTGCTGGTAAGGCTGATCCAAGGTTTGGCTATGATGGGACTCAGCACATGCTTGAGTACTTCACTAAAAGCCCGTGGAGCTGAGTGGCTGCATGCTTTGCTGAACAAAGACTTAGGCTTGTGTTTTACTGTGTGTTAAAACAAAAAAAACTCTGTTAAAGGAACAATTTGCCAAAACTTCAGTTGCTCAGTTGGAGAACATAGTGGAATGTTCTTTGAAAACTTTCAAGAAGAATTCTTGAGAGGTTTCTTTGATCTAAGGATAGCACTGACGTGAATATTCTTTAAATATTCATCTGGAAAACTGTTCTGAAGGTTTTTCTCTGTGCCTGGCTATCTTGGGAACTGGTTTGAAAGGGTTTGCAGTGGCCATTGCTGCAGACCTTGGGAAGGAACTCAACTCACAGTGAGGGTACAGATTTTTGGGGAAGGCTTTTAGCTTGGGAAATGTCTGTGAAAGGCCAGCAGTTCATGGGAGCCTAGGAGTCAGTCACAGGTATTTCTGTTGGAATTACCTGCTCGTGTCTGCCTATTTACTGAACTGCTGCAGTGCTTGCTCCGAACTGAATGGTCACGAGAAGACCAATACATGCTCTTACTAGCTGGTATGTATACAGGAGGCAAGGGTATGAGACCGTACTGCTTTGACTAGCAGCAACACAAGTGCTGCGTGATTTACTGGAAGGCGTCCCAGAGACAGAAGGAAGAACTGTTTCCTTGTGGATTATCCCCAGTGCAGAAATTAAGAGTATAGAAACAAAACAGCCCCCCCGTATTGTGCCTTGTAGCAGCAACTGTATTAGATGGCTATAAAAATGCAGACTCAATATGAACCTTGTCTCTTGGGACTAATCCTGTCACGTGTCAGAGACATAAAATGAAGCAGTGCAGAGGGCTTTAAGCTAGAAAAAAGGCTTGCACAAATGCCTTCTCTTTCGTTTTGCCATTCAAAACTGGGAGCGATTAATTTATAGAAACAACATTTGCCAGGGTGGGATTTGGGTTAAAAGCAGTAAGAGGACTTGCAGTGTGTGAGAGCTGAGAACACGTGCTCCTGTTCTGGCACTCGGTGAATTTGGAAATGCTTCTTACCTTCTGTTAATAACAATGCCGCAGGAAGCCAGGCTCTGCAACTCGCGGGCAGGAGCAGACCTTCGGTTTCTGGCCATGGAGCAAAGGTCAAAGTAAAATCTCATTTTATATCTGATAGTTAACTGCTGGTAGTGTTGTTTCACGAATGGATGAAGCCGACTCAAAACCTGCAAAGGAGATTTGTTCTTGGTTAGGATTTCATATTACTTCCTTTTGGATGTCTACTAATGTAACACGAGTACACTTAACGCTGTCAGGGATGAAAAAGAAACTAAAGGCATTTGGTACGTGCTGTCTGACCTTTGGTACCTATAATAGGGTTTCTACTCTGCTTTTTACTTTCTTTTCCTGCACAGTCTGTTACCAGTTGTGCTTCTGTCTGTTTTCTGTGTCTATTCTCATTTTCTCCATCTCTTCTAATAGTAAGAAGTGGAAGGGTCAGAGGTCACTTAAGCCTGATCAATAAGGCTGATACGCAGTTTTGTGGAGATAACAAGAATTCAAAACTCAAGTCCAAAACACGCTCTTTCTTTCTCTGCTCACAAATAATTCTGCTTGCTATTTTTGGTGAAGGGTTTTTTAGGGGTTGCCTTAGTGGGCCATGGCTGAAACACTCAGACCTACATGATATGTTTACTTTTTTCCCTTTTTCTCAATAAATTCGAGGCATCATTGTGTCTGGACACATGTAACCAACATAGCTGAACCAAAGAAAGGGGAGTTTATCTGTGATTCTACTCCCTGCTTTGGAAAAGAAGTTGAAGAAACATTAAGCTTTCTCCTTGCAAGTAATGTATCCAGCTGTGTTGTAAAGTTTTCCCTGTGTAAAAAGTCTCTTTCCCTTCTTGCAGGTGGTGGAAAAAGATGTGAACCCAGAAACAACTCTGCTAACCTATCTAAGAAGAAAGTGTATCCAATGTCAGAAGAAACTGCAGAAGGCGTTAAAAGCCTATAACATTTCATAACTGTTTATTGTTTAACTGTGCACAGACCATAGGAGGGAGTGTTCTGCATAGCCTGGTATTATTTCATTCTAGAAAAGATTATAGAAGGTATTCCAAGATAGAAGAATAGAAAAATACTTTATATAATACTTTAAATAAATCTTAAATAATTTGTTAGTACCTTAAAGGGCAGTCTCTCAGAATTGCTAGCAATTGGAAGATAGAAATGACTACAACATTGAAGGAAATTTTTCTGTGTTTCACAAAAACTGTAAACAATTTTCTGGCCAAAACATTACAGCCACTTGAGTTGGTTGCAGCATCATCCAGTAATTTGGATATTGCTGGATCTATTATATCCAATAATTTGATTATCCCATGGAATGCGTATCGTAGGGAAGGCTAAGGTGATCCAGAGGTCTGCACTTGGAGTTAAAAGTTTCAACCACATGCTACAGGCATGTTTACGTGAAGAGATGCAATCAATCATGTTTCACTCCTCTGAGATGCTGCTCACACATGACTCAGATTTGCTTCAGGAGCTGGGTAGCTATTACTGTGATGACGAGGCTGGCTATACTAGATCTAGTTCTGTCGGTAGAGTCATTCCATATTTTCTGAGTTTTTGTTTGCCCAACTGGGAGTGGACGTACTCTAGACTGCTCATGTCTGTGTTGGTGTATTCTTTAAAAAGAAGCATGCATTCTTACTCCAGCTTTGCTGCTATGCTCTCAGTTTTCTAGGATATAACTCATGCTCTGTAGTTTCCAGCAGAACTATCAGCAGCCCTGTTTTATCTGTGTCTTGGGTACATAAATAGGGAAAAACAAGCCACCTGTCTCCTGTGCCTGTGTGTGCTTTTCACTGCTAGACCTTTTGTGCCTAAGCTTGTTAATAATGAATGTAAATAGCTTCAAAGAAGATAACCAGGACTCTTTTTAAATGTTCTGATCTTGCGCATGAGCATTCTGATGAACTTACTTGTAGACATCTTGCTGGTGGTAGAGAAGTACTTTGAAACATGTTTTATTGAGGCAGATTAGCACTATTATCACAAAACTTTGGGTCACACAAGAGATCTACATTTCTGCTGAAGTAGGCATATAGATTCGTGAACATAATAGCTCTGGCTCCCAGTTTCTCTCTCCTGCAGTCTTATGGAAACCGGGCTACTGATAGTCTGCTTGGCTGATTGTGTTCTTAGAAGCCTTTGCTTGGGAAGCCACCATAAGTGGGACCAAGAGAGATGCTGCAGTGGCCAGGCTCTTGAGATGCAGGTAGTTTGAGAGCAGTTCAGGAGCAGTGCCCTTGTCAGCTTGTCAACTCTGTGGCCTACAGCACTGTGTGATTGCCCTGCTTGGGTGCCTTCAGTGTGGACAGGAATCACCAGGTATAGGAAGTAGTCAACCCCCACTGATAAGGGGTGCTGAAGATGTCACTGTGTGTCTCAGGAATGTGGCTACGTGCCCAAGCAACTCCTGCTCAGCTAAGGCTTTGTCTCCCATATGTCATTTCCTTTTCTGAGTCAAATGGAAAGTGAGAGGTGTTGAAGTTCAGAAATCATTGTTTATTCTGAGTTTATTTGATCACGGGCTGCTTCCTTATCAGGGCTTTACGATGTTGATCTCAAAGCTCACATTGCCAGCATTTTGAGTCCTCTTATGTCAAGTTAACTTATTAAGCAGGAAAAATATGAGTGCTTTGTTTCCAGCTAGAAATTGTTGCTGAGACTTGATTGACAACTGTGTGAGCAGGCTTCTGCCAACACTCTTCTTGTTTTCCTTGATTCCTGTATTCTCAGTGGGCCTATGTGGAACCAAACTAGGCTGTGGAGAAGGCGGATGTGGTGCTTGCACTGTTATGATATCCAAGTATGATCCGTTTCAGAAGAAAATCATGTATCCTTTGCAATCTGGACTCCTGACAGAGTGTGAAATGAAATGGGGATAGTTCCAGGCTCTTGACATATCACTGTTTTAAAAGGTGTTATATAATGTATGCTTCTGCCAAAACATCATTTTTCATTTTCAGAATATAGACTCAGGAGGCTGAGACCAGAAGGTATTTTTTTCCAACAGCATCGTACAGTGCTGATGAAGAGCATTTCTTCTTGCCCTGAATTATCTAAACTTACTCCAGTGCAGTCTATCTGCCTTTTCCCACCTCAGAAAATGTTTATGTTCCATTCTTGCAATGCAGTATAAGCTTTTTTGCTATGCTGACCCAAATAATAACAAAATCTTTACTGCAACTGTATTACTACAATAATCTGGTTTCTGTATGTATTCATTATTTCTCTACTTCTGTGGCGGCCTTCAGAATGTCTATTTCCTGAGAAATAAATTTTCTCCTCTTCTCTGTTTAAATCATGTGAGAGTGAAGCAGTGAAATCAAACCAAAAAGAGAATGTAGACAGGATGGAGCAGAGGTACAGGTTTGTTTTAGTTTATTTAGTTTACTTAGTTTATTTTTCCTGTGGGGAATAGAAGGCCCTGAAATCTTGGATATACTTGTAATAATGCTGCTTGGAGATACTTTAACTTGGGATTATCTAACTTAATGGTTATATGTAGCAATAATGGTTATATGTAGCAATATGACCTTTGATAGGATATCTTTAGGGTCATTATTTCTGTCTTGACAGAAAAGAAATACAGCAGCTAGCTCCTGTAAGAATTTTGCTGGTAGACTGGAGTTTTTCCTCGTGTGTCATCTAGAAATGTTTTTTTTTTATTATTATTATTTTTAGGTAAAAGATTAAGTGATCTGTGCTTTATGTATGTTTTTGTGCGAGTGAGTGTAAGCCAGCTGTATAACATCTTGGTATTTGTAGTCTGTCCTCATAAATTACTTACATTAGTTCTGTAGCTTAACATGAGATGATGATGTTTGAATTTCTAGGTCAAATCCTGTGGTACATACTCAGTTTAAACTTTAGATGAAGTTGATAAGAACTTTGGTCGAGTAGGTACCGTAGGATTTTGCTTCGAATACATTCAGTGCATCTATTAAAGTTCTCCAGTCCAGTGCCACAGTTTCTGATTACTCTTCAGCCCTCCTGGTTGCCCTTTTCCTTTGCTGAGCAGCACCGTTGAATGAAAATGACCTTAATTTATCATTTTAGCCACCATACTGCCAATGCTTGCCTCTTCCCCATCTGTGCCCTGCATCATGTAGCTGTAACTACTGTTGAAGGCATAGGAAACACAAAATCCAGATTGCATCCAGTCCAGGTAAGCTATTAATGTTGATTTTAATTGTTAACCTTAGAACCCTGTATAGTCACACTTTCTTTTTATTCTACTCAGTCATGTTGCAGTGTATCGGGACCTTCATCATAATGTTAAAGCAAAGAGACTGTCCTCATGATTAGTCTTTACTTGCAGGAACAGCTAAGGGACGGAATCAAACTCCCTTGTCAGTTCTAGAGCTGTTACGCCCTAGCAAGTTAACTGTTGCTATCCTGGCCAAATTGCTAATGCTTTTGTTCTGGGGCTCTACTTAGTTCACATCTTTTATCAGAAACTGGGACAGCTGAAAGCCTATATAGTGACTGTGAGGCCAGGAAATCTGAGTTAGGTTTTGGCCCTGCTGTAGTTTTCCATGAGTGACCTTGGTTTCTCCTCCTGCACAGTTAGGAACCTGCAGTCGTAAGAAGGAATGAAAGGAGCATGAAGTCTTGCTCTTCCAGCAAGGTGTTCTAATGCACTTCTTACGGAAGCGCACTTCAGCATTATCAGAGATATTTCTCCTTTAAGGGAAACTATGATTCACCTCAGTTTGTACAGTGGGTAGGACTTGTACCAGTATCTGTCTGAGAAAGCAAACAACAAAGAGAAAATGTCAGACGTGCATGAACGAATGAGAGAGTCAAAACCTTCCGTTTTCATACCTCCCCTGATGGCTCTTAACAACTGAGCTTTGAAATACAGTTAGTTTTCTGTCATGGCAAAGCTGAAGAACTCCCAGTCTCGTTGGAGGCTTATAGTTATTTTCAATTACTCTGGGAATTTGAAGCCTAGATGCAAGCTTTTCAGTGTGCTCTCCTCTTTGAAGTCTGCTTCATAGACAAAATGAACATCTAGTTGAAGAACACCTTAGTTCTTCCTGTAAGATTTCTGCAACATCTCTGTTTTTAAAAAAAAAAAAAAAACAAAAAACAAAAAACAAAAAAAACAAACAAACAAACAACTATGAACTAACTTTGATATTACAAGCTGATGGCTGCTGTTACTTTTCCCAGGAGAGAATAGCAAAAAGTCATGGGTCCCAGTGTGGCTTTTGCACTCCAGGCATTGTCATGTCCATGTACACATTGCTTCGGAACAAACCTGAACCCAACATGGAAGACATAGAAGATGCTTTCCAAGGTAAAACCCATGGTCATGCAGAGGTGCAACCGGTGCTGCTTTCATAACAGCTGTTTCACCAAGTGGGTTGGAGGTGCACCTTCATTTAATGTATTTCATGAAAGACAGACAATTGTTATGAGGTTAAGAAATAACGTCATATTCCCCTAGAAGACTGATTGGGTGCTATGAAGTAAACAAAAATGGCCTATGGAAAGTCCCACAGAAGCACACTGTGTGTCCTTAAGCAGTGGCAAGTGGTCTCAGGACTGCACTGAGCTTAATGCAACAAGTATGTGATCAGTGCCTTAGAGGTTTATAAGAGCCCTCCACATCTTGTGGAGGTAAATTCATCACTAGGACAAGAGCTTGCAATGTGACAGAGCATTTGGGCCAGCCAGCCTCAAGTAAAGGACCACGACAGCAATATGCATGATGGAGTAGGGTAAAATCCAACTGTCAAAATTACCTCAGAGGATCCTGTTAATACTGAAATTAGAGAGCTATTACCAGGCTTCTGACAGTGGCCCAAAAGGAAATCAGATGCATAAGAATCAATCTGTTTGCAGTTCAGGAGACTGGGTGGTTGGTATGCTGATTAGACTTGCACAATTGAGGTAAATGAATACTGAATAGGGCAGAATGTTTTTTCACTAAATTAATTTCAATTTAAAATTTCAGTGACAATGGGTGGTAAGATTGCTGCAAAAATTATTTATGAAATATTCCTCCTCCTGGCTTTTTCATTAGCTTTATCTATATTTGAGAAGCTATGGTGAGAAACAACAGAATGTTCTAGAAGAGGATAAACATTCAGCTTAATAACACTAAGCACTTTTCCTTTTGCTCTGGCTATGCAGGAAACTTGTGTCGGTGTACAGGATACAGACCCATTCTGGAGGGATACAGGACATTTGCTAAAGTAAGTGGCTTCAGATAGCGTTCAAAATATTCTGGAATTTTGGCTGTCTTTCTCTCTGTTAGTAAAATACAGCATGACCTGAAAAGGGGAGGAAAATATAAGTGCTGTACCCCAGCTCCAACTTTGGACACACTGTATGTGGTTCGTACATTGAAAAAGCAAGAGTGACTCACTCACTACAGTTTCTCAAAGTGCAGTGCTTTGTTAAGATCCACCTGATGGTCCCTTTTTGGATCACAGGTAGTCAGGCATAATTCTTTTCTGTAAGTTTGAAAACCTCATAATTGCCTGAACAGTTGCTGATGATCCCTGATGTGGAGAAAGCGTAAAAGGCTGGTGAATGAATAGGAACAGACTGAGGGGAAATTTGATCAGACAGTTGCTTTCTTGAAAGATCACCAGCAGAGGTGAAGTAACTCTGGAAAGAAGTTGAAGTCACAACTATATAGCTCTTGCCCTAAATTCTTCTACTGTATAGGTGACAAGTGAAGCTTTGCCAAAAGTTTTCTCTAGTCCTTTTGTTCCTAAAAGACTTCTGGAGGCTGTGAAGAAAAGTATTCACTAGGTACTTCTGTGATCACTAGCTACTCATGGGGCTACATGGGTATTATATATCAAAAGTGAAACAGAAATTAGAATGCTGCCCATTAATTTCAGCTCATTATCCAGAATTAAGCTCAACATAAGAGAATACAAGCAGGAGTGAGACACATTACAAATGGTTGATAAACCCGGTTGATATAGTCTACTTGGATTCCCAACAGTCTTTTAACAGTGTCTCATCAAAGCCTTTTAAAGAGCATAAGCAGCCATGGGGTAAGAGGCAAGATCTCTGTATCTATGAAAAAAAAGGCAGGAAATGGCAGGTAGGGGAAAGTGGTGTGTTTTTGAATGGTGGAAGGTCACTGATGGAATTTGGCTGTTGTAAAATCCCAGCCTGTTGCGTAAGCAAAGCTGTTTGAGATATTTCTGAATGAGCTGGGAAAAAAAGTGCAGTGGTATAAGAAAACAAGTTCACTGATGATATCAAGTTAGTTTGGATAGAGAAGATAGGAAGGGATGTTGAGGAATTTCAGCAAGACTTTATGAACCTAGAGCGGTGAAGAGAATGAGATACAAAATTCAGGGCAAAGTGATCCACAGAGGAAAATGTAGGCCTCATTTCATGTATAAAATGGTGGGCTGTGAGCAGCAGACTGTTACCATGCAGAAAGATGATCTTGGAGGTGTAGTAGATAGGTCCGTGGAAGCACGAGTACTCACTGGCAGTCAAAAAAAATATATCAAAATACAGCAAACAAAAGAGAAAACACTGTTACACCACTGCGTCATAGCTCTCCTACACTAGAGTGCTCTGTGCAGTTCTGATCCTCTCATCTCTAACAAGGTATAGCAGAAATGGAAAAGATTCAGAGAAGTGGAATGAGGATCACAGCTACAGTAACCTGGCTTCCATACTAACACTGAGTAGACTGGGACTCCAGGCTTGAAGAGAGCAGAGTATTGGGTGTTGTATATACTCACCCCTTTTACTCTTCTCTCTGCACACGCCTTCACAGCTGCAGCTGGACCAGAGTTGCTGTCTCAATTGTTAGGGTCTATCTACAAGAACAAGAGGTCAGTACACTAGAAATGCCCTTGCCATCACACTGCCTTCCACAAGCAAGGGGAAACAACTACTTGCTTGGGACATCCCATCTCCCATTTCTGGTTTGGAAATAGAACATATGGGATTAATTTCTCTCAAAAGGGAATAAAATCTGCTTAATTTCCTTAGAATCTGTGCATTTTTCTCAGAACTGCTTTTGTCCCCACAGAACTTCGAGTTGCTGTGGCAGAGCAACCCATGGCACAGGATGCTGTCGTAGTAAGAGGGAAAACAGCATGGTAAGCTGAATTAAAGAAGCCATAAACTCAATTTTTAATATTGTATTAGTAGAGTTTTTATGTAATAGCCATTCCTCTAGCCCTACTGTAGTACAGGTATTCAGAGATGTCTGAACTATTTTGCATGTCTGTCTTGGAAAAATACTGCTGTCATATATTCCTGAGTGGCATGACTGGCCATCATGACATAGCTTTTAAAAGAGTGAGCCATGTTCTGGATCTGTGAGGTGAAACACCATGGTGACAACTGTAAGAAATGTGTTACTTGCTTTTTGTATATTGAAGCTACCTTTCTGTGAAAACACTTCCAAAAAACAGTTAACTCTCTGGTGTGATCTGTCCCAAACTTCATAGTCTAATGATGAATGATTTAATGACTATTCCAATAAATTGTTCCATTGGATCTTCTTGGAATATCTTGAGTAAAAGAGCTAATTTTATGTACTAGTTGAGGTACAAATGGTGGAGGGATCAAAAGAAGGAATCTGGACATAAGGTGGTAGGAATGTAAAATGAATTTAGGAAGGAGAGAATATAAAGAAATTATTTCTTGGAAAACTCCAAGAAATTCTTATGGATTATGGTTGTGTGGAATACTTCAGCAATTAAGATTACTTTGAGTTCTTGCATCAAAATGGTTTATTAATGAAAAAATATTACCAAGAATTTTCTGTTACCCAGGGATTGATAAAAGGGAGGAATATAACTGTAAAAGCTGGAATTTTCTGACTTGTGAGCAGAATAGCTGAGGTATACTTGTTTCTTCTTCAGAATGGGAGTTGTTGTGGAGGAAAAGCCAATGGTCCAGGCTGCTGCATGAATGAAAAAGAGGACAACATGGTAAGGTGTTCCTTAAAGTACTTTTTGTCTCCTCTGGTGTTTTGGAACCTAACTCTGCTTCGCTCTGTACCAAAGTCCATTCGTTGTAACTTCACTTATTTAGCTTTTATGCTGGTGTTAACTCGAGAAACGTTCCTTTGTCATCTAACATGCAAAAGTGATGACACTTGATTAGAAAAAAACTGCGAATGTGTTCAAGTTCAGGTTTCTGATCAGACATATTCTTAGCAGAAAAATACAACAGGGAGAACTTAGAATGCTGGTCCAGGTTGCATCTTTTCACTGTTTGCCATTATTTGCTGCATGAAATATTAAGAGGCATTTGATTGGAAGGAGGAGTGAGTTAGTGTTACATGTAGATAGATTTCTCCTCTACCTACTATTAGTTTAATTTTCTCTTTCATAGACAATGATGTCTTCCAGCCTGTTCAATGCTTCTGAGTTCCAGCCATTGGATCCTACACAGGAACCAATCTTCCCACCAGAGTTAATGGTAAGTTAATTCCAAAAGACCAAGTATGTTGTTCATTGGCTTCATTTTTCCATGCAGGGTTTGAATGTCCCCAGGGTCTCTGTCCTAAGGAAACAGTAGTGCAAAAAATGGCTGCCAATAAAAGAAGCATGGGCATAAACACTTCCCTCTGTTTAAAAAGACCTTGTCAGCCAGAATGGCTTAAAAGATACTGAGCCTTAAATGTCTTCCCCAGCTGTTTGGCTGACCTTGAGTGTTCTTGGGTTGCCTTCCTTTCCAGTCACTGCCTATCTGGGGATGGAACTGTTGCTGACAACTGGATTTCAGTTTACTAGGTCATCTGTAAACCTTTATAGTGAATACAGTCACATCTGAGCTAATGACCCAGTAATCCACTTTCAGTGTAGGGAGAGAAGTAGGAGCTATGGGATATAACTGAATATGTTTGAGCAAGGTAACTTCTTGAAAGCCCCAACTTCCCTCCACTCAGTATAGCAAGAGGAAAAGCTGAATGGCTTACATCAAAAGGTAGGTAAAAAACAGCTTCTCTCCATGTTTAATTTCTGTCTTTTTTAGGGTAGTATTCCCCAAAGAAATTGTTATGTAACAACAGAATTGTTCCAACCAACAGTCATTTCCAGTACATGGTTTGTTTACGGCTTCCTTCATATTTAAGAAATGAAAACTCAGTTATTAATTCTGCTGCTGCACCCAACTCAATCCAGCCAAATGGGTCCTGAGCTACAGCACTAGCAAGCTCTCATGATACTGTAGCCCAATATATATTTAGCCTGAAGTAGGCTCCCTGCTGTTTCTTCCCTAAGAAGTTCCCCTGTCTAAGAGTTGTTGTTGGGAGACAGCTATGTTAGTCTGTTTTCTTCAGTCACAGAATGAAGGAATGAAAAAGGGAACCAGAATCTGGCCTTATTACTTCTGAGATGGGTGAAGCTACCAGTATCTGCCACAACTTGGGGATGATGGAGCGTGCTGGCAGAGGTGTTGGTAGGATGAAGTGGCAGCAGGATGCACCTGGCAGAATCAGGAAGGAAAAACTTCTGTCAGCATGACAGAGACTCTTGTCAGTGATAGTGGAAGAATGGAGAATAGCTAACTGATCAACAGTGTGGATATCACAGGTGCCTGTCAGTAACTTGACTGAGAGGGAGCCTGGCCTGGTATAGGCATGGGCACCCATGAGAGATTCTTGGCTTGATGTAGGGGGTTTGAACTCCATCTGAACTCATATTTGCAGAGTCAGAAAAACAAACAGCAGAAGCAGCTGTGTTTCAAAGGTGAACGTGTAATGTGGATCCAGCCTACGACTCTCCAGGAACTGGTGGCCCTCAAATCCCAATACCCCAATGCCAAGCTTGTTGTGGGAAACACGGAAGTGGGTAAGAGGAAGAGCTCATGCTCTTTATCAGCAGTTGGAAAACTTTAAAAAGCTTACTTCGACCTCTGAGCCTTTGTACTAGTTCTGTGGACTTCTGAGAAGTGGGGAGTGGCACAGTATAAAATTTCCTTGTATTCAAAAGCTCTTGGCTGTGAAACCTCTGTTTTTCAAGATGTTCGAGGAATAAACTCTTAGACTTGAAATCTTGAACGTTTTCTCCCATAACATATACTTCTGCAACCATGAGGGGTGAGAGAGTTAAGACATACTGAGTAATTCTGTTATTCTAAGCAATTAATCCAAAGACAATCTCCCATAGTTTTCTGCTTCATTTCATACATTCTTCTTTCCTGAAGGATTATGTACAACAATAGGCAGATAACACAAGTGCTAAATAGTGTATTTAAGGTTATTGAGAGCCAAGAAAAAATTCTGTAGAACTTCCTGATATTAATTGGAAACAACTTTTAGTTTCTCTAAGACCATACATGATCAATGTGTTAGATGGTCAGTGAACTGACTCATTTATAGGCCTGCTGCCATTTCATTGGGAAACAATTTAGGCTCTGTGTCACCAATATGTAACTGAAGGAGTCTTACTTTTCATTAAGGTGTTGAGATAAGGTTAAAGAACATGTTGTATCCAGTGATAATAGCACCAACATGGATCGCTGAAATGAACGCTGTTCAACATACTGAAACAGGTGAGCAAAAAAGAGGCAGAATGCCTGTTAAATGGGTGGGGATTCCAGCAGAATAATAAAGAGGGTATGAAGGAAAATCCCCAGATTAAAGACTACTTTCTATCTCCGTTAATATTTCTCCCATGCCCCAGCAAGTGAGTCAAGTGAGTTCTATGTATAAATAATTTGAGAATCAAATAGAATTTTCAATGGAAAGTATTTTAAACATTTTTATCTCAGTTTGTATGGTGTTTCATTTGTATTGCTTGGGTTAGTATTGGGTTTCAATGAGCAATCTTCTTATTTAGAAATATTTTAAAATTAGTAACTGGGGAAAAGAAACTGGATTTCACTGTCTGTGTGAAAGTTATGTATTGTATTTATTTTTGTGGTGGAAGCAGGTCAAACTTAGAAATAGAAGTAATTGAGCTGATGTAGTCCATGGGGCCATCCTACAGTGAGGCAAAAGGGTGGTGGGTGACTGTCATATGAGAGGCAATACCAACATGAGCTGTAATTTAAAAGCGAATTTCTTCTGAGGATGTGATGTTTACATGCAGTGCATAAAAAGTACTTCGAGTGTCTTCTCCAAACCCTTACTGCCTAATTAAATTAGTGGCATCTAAGCTTTGTAGACACGGTTATAACTGTCCTCCCATATCTAGACTTTTGGGAGAAGAAAAACAACACTTTTCATTTGTTTGTTTACAGGGGTCACCTTTGGCGCTGCCTGTACTCTAAGCTCAGTAGAAGAGGTGCTGAGAAAAGCAGTTGCAGAGCTTCCTTCTTACAAAACAGAGGTCTTCAAGGCTGCCCTTGAACAGCTACGGTGGTTTGCAGGGCCACAGATCAGGAATGTTGCAGTAAGTGATGTGGGAGTATCAAGGACAGGAAGTGAAAGCTCGGTCTGAGGAGCTGGCCTCGCTCATCCAGCATTGCTGTGCCTGGTGCTCCCCATATAAGAACACTGGCAAAAAAAAAAAAAAAAAAAAAAAGAGATTACACATAAAACAACCCCAGGAAGTGATAGCAACATGGGGTCTCAGATGGTGTCTGTGCTGCAGTGATATCACAGATTCAGCAAGCAACGGCAACATGGTGGATGTGCAGGTCTTCCATTACTGTTAATGGGATAAGTGGGGGAAACTGTAGAGAGGTTTGGCTGTGACTTAACCAAAAATATGTTTACAGAGCTGGAAAAAAAAAAATTGACATTGTTGAGCATATGTGGTTTGAGCATAAAGTAACTCCAAAGCATTACCCAAAGACTGTTCCTAAAATTGTTTCAGAGAAATGTTAGTTTTGATGGGACAGCAATTGGTTTCAGGGGTTTTCTACTTTCTTACTTCATTAAAGGCCTAAAATTGTTGAGTGAGCAAAAAGAATATAAAGGCAAACTCAAGCCTAGCTAACCACTAGTGCCTGAAGTATATGTATGAAGTGTATGAAGTAATGTAGGATTACAAGAAGTTATTGTTGTATCTCGAGTTTCTTTTAATATTTATTTAATGCATTTTTGGTCACTCTAGGCTCTTGGAGGGAACATAATGACAGCAAGCCCAATCTCTGACTTAAATCCTGTGTTAATGGCAAGTGGAAGCAAACTGACCCTGGTATCAAATGGTAACTTACATTTCTTTATGATGCTGAGGTAGATGAAATAGTCAACTGTCCTTTCCTATGCATTAGGTCAGGTCAGAACTTTTAAAATGCATGTTACTAATACATAACATATTCTGTTTGACTTTATATGGTTTTGCCCTTTTTACATTCAAGTCTTTATAGACTTAAGGCTGGTTTCCCAGATTCCCAGAGAATTTTGAACTAGAATGAATCTCTAGTACTGTGCATGCACTTACAGAAACATCCTTGTGAAGAGCTGGTTGAAGGTGTCTGTCTATTCATGAAAAAAAGGCATATAATTGTTTCTGTCACTATCATACTTTGATACTTGTGGATTTTTGAGAAAAGGTTAAAACCTGTATTGTTTTTTTTGTTTGTTTTTCTTTGAAGAAAACCAAATGTCTCAATTTGTAGTTGCTCTTAGGAAGAATTTTTTTTCATAAAGGATCCATTTGAGGAGCAGACTGACTGCTCAGTGACAGTCTCCTGTGATGCACATATATGCAGGCTAAAGAAAGAGGGACTTTCATTGAAATGCTGGAAACTGATTCTCCTGGAGACTCATCTTTCATTAGATAATGGAGGGAGAAGTTTGAGAGATCTCTTTTCATCAGTTCCTGTGCAGATAAAACTTCATATGTGCACCAAAACTGTCATAAATTACATAAGGACCAAAGTAAAGCTGAGAAAATCCTTCCTAATTTGGTGAAATTGTGTGGAGGAAAAAAAAAAAGATATATGAAGAATCATTTGTGTAGGTCGAAGGCTCTTTCATGTGTACTGTTGTCATTCTTCATCCAAGTTAGTTATTCGTCTGCCATTGATCTCTTCTTGCTCTGCAGAAGGCAAAAGGACTGTCACGATGGATGAAAATTTTTTCACTGGATACAGAAAGACAATAGTGAAGCCTGAGGAAATACTTCTCTCTGTTGAAATACCCTACAGCAGGGAGGTAAGCTTGTAGGAGAAGATTTCATTGTCCTTGGAATTAAAATGTTATTACCTGAATGTTAGTTTCAACGTTAGGCACTTTTCCTTGAAGACCAATCATGAAATGCCAATGTAGACCCAAGAGGATCAGCAAGCAAATAAATTATCTGGTGAAAAGCAAGCAACGGGAACTGGGCTCTCTGGTAAATATAGTAAGCCCAACTTTTTTTGTGAAAGAAATATAAACTTCACTTTATTGTCTATGGCTTTTTGAGCACATTCAGTAGTGATTAAAGGTGCCAATGTGATGTTCTCAGAAGTCTGAGTTCTGTTTACAAAATAGTACAGCAAAGATGCTAGCAGTTTGTGAAGTAAAATAGCTTTAAGGTTCCTGAAGTTCCTGTTTCATTTCTGTGAAATGAAATGGGGGGAAAGGGGGAGAAGGAAAGAGAGAAAAGTGTGGGGATAAAAGACAACTTCACTTCTGCATCCTTGTCTTGCAAGCCTGAAAGCACTAGGACTGATTATTATGGCATTTTGCCAGTGGAGACTTGCAGCTTCAAATGAGCCTGCAAAACTTCTGTCAAGTAGAACAATGAACATTCCTCTTTTTTAGCAGTATGAACCATAACTAATTCAGTCTTTAAGGCAAATAACATCAGACTTTAGTTTGATGCCTGTGAAGGTATTTACCTTTTTAGCGCTTGTGACTAGAATTTATAAGATGCAAGGATTCACAATGTAGTAACACATTTCCTTTATAAATGGAAAAATCCATTTATCTGAAATGCTATCCTGTTATGGGATAGAACTAATAAATCCTTTGTCTATCCTCTATATTTGGTATCTAAGCATTAAGAGAACAAAGGTATTTTATTGATGGTGCTTTTACATCTATTTCTGAGTGATTCTTCCTTGATCTTGTGGTAACTGCAAGCATCTCTTTTTTTCCAAAATGAGAATCACATTTGAACGAGTCAGTGTAAAACACCACGTCCTTCCATTTATATAACAGTCATATGGCAGTTTCACAAAAAACAATAAATGTTTGCCAGCAGAGCAGTGGCATGATCTGTAGGTTATACGCAGCTCATTCATGTGAAAAACTAGAACAACTTTTGAACTCTACTTCCTGGCTGATCATGCTCATCAAGCATGAAACTAGGGAGACTGAAGTTCTTCAAGGGATGTCTGAAGTTGTTGACATGTGGCAGACAAAATGTTCTGGCACTGTGATTTTCTCACAACTGATGTGTCAGCACATAGCTAGAGATGATTTTTTTGGTTTGTTTGTTTGAAACCAATGTTACCTCTTGCACTGATGTGACGTCACACAAGGTGTAAGACTGGCGAAAAAACATGAAGAATTAGACCAAACCAATTTAGCAGATAACAATATTTAGTGTTACTGTAGAGTAACTGAGTTTATGGTAAGCTTTATCATAGTGAGATTGGTAAAGAAGAAGAGGCTACACATTTTTCTCCTGCTAGTCTGTCTGTCAGATATTTAAGATCTTCAGAGAAGAAAGATTGTTGAGTACTTAAAAGATTGCAACTGAGTGAGAACAGCATTTGGAAAAGGAAACAGCTCAATGAGTTAAAGTATAAACAGGTGCCAGAAAACTGCTTATCTTTTAGTATATAACAAGGCATTCCTAGAACAGGGATTTTTTTAACGTTCTTTTTTCTCTTCTGGGCTGCTAAAGCATTGCCTGTGTTCCAGGTAAGGTTCACGAATATTAGACACAATTTGCATTGTTACTCACTTACTGACTATCAGTTTTTTATATCCTTTACCATGCATGCATATTTCTCTAGCACGTTTTTCACTGTTATGTAACTTTTATGGTAATAGTATTTTGTGTCATGAACACACTTGAGCAGTTTTCAAACAGAAGCAGCGTAACACAATGACGGCATATGTCTCTCTTTAAAAGACAGTCTTAATTTAACCTATTGTTTATTCAGTATTGCCATCATAGGTTCATAGTATCACATTCTTGCTCCCCTGCAGACAGAAAGAGGTTGTGTAGTTTACTTCATCCTTTAAATTAGCATCCTCCAACCTTCATCCATTATTGACCTCTATTCTGCGGTGCTGGATTGAAAAAAAATTCACATGGAAATGTTTTTGCAATTATGAGTATTGCCTGTGAGTCTTTCAGAGCCTGAGCATTTCTTAATATGCGCCTGGTGTTGCCTCTTGGCCAGGCAGGGATTCATATGGAGGCATCAAGAATCTGAGTCACTTGTCTTTCCTTTGAGATAGCTAATACCTAGAAGCTTTCACGGTGAACATTTAGAAGGGACATGCTTTGTTGTTTTAGCAAGAAATGGGACAGACATGGGCAGCTGATATGATGGCTACATAACCTGCAGCCCTAGTGAGGAGGAGTAGTGGGTGCCTTTTCTCCCACAGGACTCTTTACCAAGAAAACTAAGATATCTTATGAGGCATGGAGGCAAATTTTGCCCTCATGTTGCAAAAGCTGAGGTGTGCGGTAAGAGAAGACGCTGCATTTTCTTCTCTTTGAGAACTAATTACTTTAACAAGCGTAGTGGCAGAATGTCCTCATTGAGAGGATGTTATTGATGTTATTCTGCTATTATCTGCTGGCTGCTCACTCATTAGTTGAATTTAAGGAATTATATACAGACTACTTATATCTCCAGTAATGAATCTCAGTGCACAAAACTTCCCTCTTGTGAAGCTGTTCTCATTGCCAATGATAGAGGAATTATTCTTTACAGTAATGAGAGAAGTGTTATCTACTTCAGATGAGAGTTAATTAATGGAACAGACCACTCTGCTCTGCAGAGTCACTTGGCTAAGCTATTCAGGAAAGAACTTGGCAGCAAACTGTCCACAATGGCCATGCCAAGACATCAGATCTGATTTCTCTCCTAGTCTGCAGGATGCCTGAACAGGAGTTTTGTGATAGTCTGCAGCACAGGCAAGGGGAAAAACTGACATTAGTATGACTCCAGAATGACACCATCATTTAGTGTAAACTGGTGGAGTGTTAATCTCAGGTTTACTACACTTTTGATAGGAGAGCTGCTGAGTTTTTTTGTGAGTTGTAGTTGCTGGTGCATTTGGAAGAATTTTCTCTCTCTGTGAACACCAGCAGAGGATTCAGAATAGTTACTGAGAGTTGTATTTTTAGTAACAGACTGATAATAAGTATGGTACGTTCTGGAACTGTGAACGATTTGTGATTATTGATTTCAGTTCCTATAGAGTTTGAAGACTTCTGAAAGAGCAAGAAGAGAAGGGGTTTAGGGATCTGAGTTTTACTGATGAGGCTTAGCAGCTCTGAAGACAGGAACAGTTGCTGAGGAATAATAAGCTTGTATAGATACTAAAAATCTGTCTTTGTCTCCTCATAGCATGGAAAAAATGTCTGCAAATCTCTGTCAAAACTCATTTTTCTGAACAGTCCTATCTTGGGTAATAATCACTGGCCTAATACATTAGACTTAATTTTTGAATCATGTGAAGTTTGGACTCAATGATCTTGAAGGTCTTTTCCAACCTATACGATTCTAAAATGTACAACAGTGCCTTAAAACACATGCCCTGCTTGGCACTGCAAGGTGAATCTACCTGATACAGTTCCCTGGAATAGCTCATCCACATAGGGATATGCTAAAAGCTTGTCTATATCCGTACTCCAAACCATGCCAAGATGGGGAGTAAAGAAATATATTTTTGTCTCCTAGGGTGAATACTTCTCAGCTTTCAAGCAGGCTTACCGTCGAGAGGATGACATTGCCATTGTGACCTGTGGGATGAGAGTCCTGTTCCAAGCTGGCACTAACCGAGTGGAGGACGTTAAACTAAGCTATGGAGGAATGGCTCCTACAACAGTCCTGGCACTAAAAACTTGCAAAGAGCTCATTGGCAGGTAGGAATTTTTCTGCAGTAGGAAGGCTGGCTGGTGGAACAGTGCTGATTTTTACAGGAACAGTTAAAATACCCTGAATCATTCTCTCTTACAGTACCCAGAATGAGAAAGGGGAGGAATTGTAGATGCACTTCTGTAGCAGTCTGTTTTGTGTGATACCTTTCTTCTATCCATACCCTTTACCCTCAAAGATCCATATTGGTCTCTTATTCACAGAGATTCTCTTGCTAAATGCACTTATCTAACGAAGTGTGCAGATGATAGATGTGGATATGGCCTAAGGAAATGATTTTTTCTTTTGAAATAAACTGAGAAATCTGCACCTTAAATAGCTTTGTCATATTGTTAGAAATGTATGCTAGTCCAAGATGAGAGCAAATGTGATGCGTACCCTATAAACAGAGAGAGCAGGTAGGCATCACAAGATAGGTTGTGGGGCAGCCGTGTCAGAAGAGTTAATCCGCCCTGTTAATAGGCCTGAGAAGAGGCTGTGTCACCTGTGTTCTCTTGCAGAGACTGGAATGAGAAGCTGCTGCAGGATGCCTGCCGCTTGCTGGCAGGTGAAATGGACCTGTCACCCTCTGCACCTGGTGGGATGGTGGACTTCCGACGCACGCTCACACTTAGTTTCTTCTTCAAATTCTACCTGACTGTCCTTCTGAAACTGAGCAAGCACCACAATGGCCCTGTGAGTGTTGCTGGGGAAGGATGAACTGCATGTGCAGTCTTTATGGGGAAAGCATAGGGAGAGTCACATTCTGAGTCTTCACATTCAGGAAGACTCAGAGCAGAAAGTGGCCATGAAAGGTTTTTTTTCCGATAACAAACTCCATGATGCAATAGCTGCCAAAGCTACTCTGCTGATTTCCCTGTGTGACAGGGACTAGTGTATCTTCCTGCTTGCTTCCCCTTGGCATCTTCACCTTGCTGTAGGAAGATGCTGATCTGTGGGCTCATAGGAGGATTCCTGGAGTTCTCCTTGAGGGTGCTGTAACAGCTCTAGTAGGTCTATGACTATTGTTTGCACAGAGCCTGAACACTACTTGCTTTTCACCTGGTATGAGATGGATTATTTTCTCTGCATGTTGAGCTTTGGGTTCTGCTGTATAGTTGGTGTGGGCTTTTGCCACTTTGTACGAACAACCTTATTCTCCTTTGTGAGCCACCATCTAGGAGGGGCATCTGTGACTTACTAAGGGAAAGAGAATATCCTGGATTACTGGGGAATATGAGAAAGAGACTGGCAGGAAAGATAATTGTCTTTAATATTTTTGGCAGAACAATCTGTGTGAGCCTGTCCCCTCAAACTACATCAGCGCTACAGAGCTGTTTCACAAAGATCCCATTGCAAATGCCCAACTCTTCCAAGTAAGTAGCAGTACCTGCATGACCTTTTCTTTAGCTCAAATAATGATTGCTATCTTGTTGTCTCTCTGAGTATAAACAATACATGAACTTACATAATGCCATTCCTGAGGCTTGTATTTGGGTCTCAGTCCCTTCATTGCTTTAGGATAAAATGTTCTTTCCTGTCACTGTCCACGACTGCTCCTGACTTGTATATCTTCATAAAATCTGCTGTAGGTAGCATTTTCCTCCTGCAACCAGCTCGATACACAAACTGAATCTGCCCTCCTGCTTTCCACAGTTAGCCTCTTTGCATCTTTCAGGCTTCAGATTTGGGATACACATCTCCTTCCTTATTTCTGTGCTAATGACCCCTTATCTTTAGCTTTGGGATTAGAAGCTAGCTGCAGAACTTGAATGTTTTTTTATGAGCTGTCATTTCAAAGCATTCTCCTCCCTAGCAATTTCAAAGAACCATATCCCTTTCACTTCATTCTCTGCAGCCCCGTATGTGTAGCCAGTCCGTCTCATTTATCTTCCGTTCCCAGAGGACTGAGTGCCTGTTCCCTTATACATCTCGCTAGGATGTCTCACCTTGCCTATTGTTCTTCCATCAATGCTTCTGTCCCCTGCACTGTGAGCAGCAGTAATCAGTGATGTGTTTTACTTCAGGAAGTGCCAAAGGGGCAGGCAGCTGAAGATATGGTGGGCCGGCCTTTGATGCACGTCTCAGCAGACAAACAAGCTTGTGGAGAGGCTGTGTACTGCGATGATATCCCTCACTTTGAGAATGAGCTGTACCTAACGCTGGTGACTAGCACCAAGGCCCACGCTAAAATCATGTAAGTGTTGCTTCTGAGTTTCAGATGTTGCATGCGTCTAGTGCCTGCTGGGTTAGAAAATATTGACCTGTGGAGTTGTGGGTAAGGGAAAGGTTCTTGCGTTAGTGAGACCTCCAGTTCATTGCACATTGTTACATGGAGGTGAGCTGTGTATGTTACAGCTAAGTCTGTATTAGTGGGGAGTAACACCAAACTCAGAGCTTTGTTGGAGCACAAAGGTCTTGGCCCTAGGCAGCCTTCTTATGTGCCCTATCACTTTCTTATACTCAAACACAAAATTAAAAAAGAGGTGGGTGGGAGAGCACCACGCTGTCTTAGGAGACGTTTTAATCGCTCACCAGAGCATGCAGCTTTTCTATGCGTCTAAAAGTTTAGCTTGAAATGTGCAGTTCTGCCACAGCACTCCTGGTAGTGTCTAGTCTGATCTGTGTACTGTCTTCTGCATTTTGCCTTGCACAGTGCTTGCTTGCCATGGCCAGGCTCAAGCCCTCTGCAAAACCGTGCTGTGTGAGAGAGATCCAGTTGTTAGATAGAGAGCTATTTGTGCTTGTCTGTAACAAGGTGGTTAGGTCAACATTTGGAAGTTTAGATGTCTAAAAACATCTTGTACATAGAGAGAATGACTGATGGAGAACTTATAACTAAGGTGACTAACAACCTCTAAAATTCTATCTTGGCAAGTAAAGTCTTCTACATTCTTGTATACATTTTAATGCTGTTACACTGCAGCACTGACTTACCCCCACGCAATCCCTAAGTGCACGTGCACTGTGGTAGTTCTTCAGGCTCCCATCTGCTTTGATGTGGTACGCTCTGCAGTGCGTTGCCTCATGACAGCCTCAATAGCCTTGCGTTGTGTCATTCGTTCCCTAAGCAATACTTCCTGCCTGTTTAGGCTTCCTGCCCAGAGGTTTCCCACAGCGGTCTAACACAGGCCAGGCAGCATACAGTGGTCATTTATGCACAGGTGTAGTAGTTGACTCCCAGGTTATGAAAAAATTATTCTGTCATGGTTAAATCTTAGGTGTTGCAATTTTGGCATTGATGAGTGCCACAAATATATAAGCACTGTTACTATTACCAGTGCAGGTGGGGCAATAGAGAAAGCATCACATCTATGCCTATGACCCCAACATGAGTTATTTTCTAGAGGTTGCTGTGTACATTCTCTTGCACCTGCATTGCACGTTCACGTTTCAAGCTATGTCAGTGTCATTCTGTAGAGGAAGTGGCAGTATATTTCATCAGGTGACAGAAGTATCTCAGCCTATGATTATGTTGGCTAAAATACTGACTTCGAAAACTTCACTTCAAATGAGTCAGGTTTTGGCTACCAAATGTAAATTAGAAATTATCTGCTTGTATATTACTAAGGAAATTGATCAGGTGATTCTTTCTGAGGCATTGCTGCAAAAGTGTACAAAAGTGAATTTTCCAAAGAAAAATAGCATTTTCTTCAGCTCCTGTTGTCTGTCCATGTGAGGGAGTTCATCCACGCATTTAATGTCGTTTTTGTTTGTAGAACACTGGGGTACATAAACAACTACTTTCAGGCATAGTTTGTATCAGAATTTCAGATAAATCCAAGCATGCTGGAAAAAATTGCAGCAATTTAACAGAAGACAGTAAATCATTCAGCAGACACGAAGCCACAGTTCTTTTTGCAACAGATCCCTTGTAAAGCCAGCCGATTGCATAGCCAATGTTCACAATATTGCATAAAGCTGGAAAGTTGTTTGTATTGTAATTATGAAGAGCTCCATATAAAAATATAATGCACTTTTTTTTCCCCTGTCTTGCTTGTCACTTCTAAATCTTTACATGATTACAGCAGACGTTTTCATTAGATACCTCTTCCTGATTACCTAAAGAAACCTTACATTAAGTTGTTTTTTTTCTCTCAGAGCTTCATTGCTCTTGCACCCTTTTAAATACCCTGCAGCTTCATTGTGATTAATATGCAACTTCTCCCAGACTCACAGCCACATTTTTCTCCAGAGGTGAACAAACCGTAGATAAATCTGCAGTCAAATCTTAGGTTTATCAATATACAAGGAGGAATCTTGCCTTCATGAAATCATGTTAGCTAAGATGGCAGTGGAGACATACCATCACTAACACGAATTTCTCTTTGGTAAAGGGTGTCAAGAGATTTTTAATATATATGATGATTGGATTAAATTCAGGTATGTCTCGGGGAAAAGGTGTATGATGTAGTATAGTCCAAAGCAGCTGGTTGGTGATCAGCCTGACAGTGAAGATTCAGGTTATAATATAGTTCCCAAATGATTGTAGTTACCTTTCTGCCTTGGTCTTACATTATATTGATATGACAAACTCCTCTTTTGCATAGTCAGACTTTATGGAGTCAAGCCTGAAGATTTATTGGTATCTCATATGCACTTACAGAAAGAAAAATGAGGAAGAATAACTCTGTCTCTCTTGCTTTCTTTCTTTAGCTCTATAGATGCATCTGAAGCCCAGAGCGTTCCTGGGTTTGTGTGTTTTGTCTCCGCTAAAGATATTCCTGGCAGTAACATCACAGGCATCGCTAATGATGAGACTGTCTTTGCTGAGGATGTGGTATGTGGTTAAAAAATAACTGTTTTCACTTACACTGTCCAGGAGATAAGACTTTGTATATGGTCCAGTGAAGTCCTCTGTTGTGTACAGAGACAAATTCTGACTGCACTGGAGTCAATAGAAATCTTGGTGCCAAATTCAGTAAGGCTTGCCTTATGCTCCTCTTCTCTAGCTGCATTATTCTCCTCTAAGCTGCAGACTACTGTGCAGGCTTACACTTGTTCAGTTACTTTCCAAAGTCATTTGTGATCAAAGTTTACCTTGACCAGTTATGAATAATTATGTCTGTATTCTGTGCAGACATCTCTTACACAATGAAGACAAACGTGCTCATCCGAGACACCAAAAAACTCCAGTCTGGCTACTCAGATAAAATTGTACTATTCCTTGCTCCATTCAGCGTTCATTTTGCATAGACTGGTCCAATCAAACAGAGAAAAAGTTGCAGAAAAGGACAATAGCAAGAGAATTATTATGAGTTGTTCAGCTACTGTATATATACACAGTAAATGATGGTGGGTCTAAATCTGGCTTGCAGGTCACTTGTGTTGGTCATATCATTGGTGCAGTTCTTGCAGACACACAAGAACATTCCAGAAGAGCAGCTAAAGCTGTGAAGATTAAGTATGAAGAGCTCAAACCTATTGTCACAATTCAGGTAAGATAGCTCATATCTGCTTCTGCAGTTACCTCAGAGCCCTCTGGTATCTAATTAACTTCTCTTTTCCCAGATAATCATTTAGCCGCATGTTGTGTTAGTCTTTATGATGCAGGTGCAGCAGGATATGGATAGAAGGAATAATTTGTATATTTAAAGAGGACACACCTTTGATATGGTACTGATTAGGAGTATATTGGCTCTGTATTACTTAATGCTAAAACAAATAAACTCTGGGAGATACATTGCACCCTTCACAAATTTGTTTAAATTAACAAGGTTAGTGCCAGTTACATTTTTATCCACAGATACTTGCTTTCAATATTGTCTGGTATAACCTTGCTGGCTTCATTGGTATTTATTCATTCTTTTCTCATTTACAACACTCAGTAAGAGAGTGCAAAGAAGTCCCCTCTAGCTCAGCCACAGCACTGTTTCTTGGAGATTTGTGCAGACCGTTTGTAAAGTTTCTAAAGCTGATGGAATTAAGTTTGAGGAGTTATCTCTGTTGTGAACATTTCTACTGGCTGTGTGGATCCTTAAGTCGGTCTTCTCAAAGCTGAAGAAATGCATGTCAACAAATTGTAATTATTTTGTGCCTTTTTTTTTTAAAAAGCATATTATTTGTTAACAAAGTTTCCTTGTGAGAGCGAAAGCAAGCGGTAATATCGAATACAGGATTCACATGCAGAAATTGGGAAGAAAAAAAAAGTATGAAGCCAGAGAGAAATTAGAACCATAGAATTCTAATTAGTTTTTATACAGGTCAATATTTCATACCATGTAGTTTGTAACGTGCATTGCATTCATGCAAGTACAGAATCCGTGCCTTGTCTCGTACAGACAGCAGTGCTGTCATCTGTGAGCAGAAGCTTTGATTTGTTTACATGACAAGATTTACAAACTGTTTGAGAACTTTTCCTGTTCTGAGGCTTCTATCTGCTTATTCAACCTGGGAAGATGAGACTAGAGCTAAAAATGTGTTGATTTTTGTTGTTCTTTGATCACTGTTTTGTTCTGTTTTAATCATGGAAAGTTTCTGTTTTGGCAAAAGCAAAATGCATTTACAAAATTTCTATAAGGCAGATTGTGATTTGGCTCAAAAGTGAACTATTTGTGCAGAACTTCTCACTCCATTTGGAAGATTTAGTTTTCCTCCTCTTTCTTTTCTTTCTCTCTTTCCCCCTCTTCAGACTATGAACTGTAGTTAACACAAGTTGCAAGTCATAGCTCTGGTGGCTATGCTCTGGATCCATAAGGTAAAATGGATCAGAAGAAACAATCTAAGATTATCTAATAGTTTATTGTGGATTATTGTGAAACTGCTGTTATGCCAAAAAAAAAAAAAAAAACAAAAACTGTCTAAGTGAAGTGATTTGCCTGTTGCATTAGTTACTGTCTTAAACTTGTGCTTTTTATCTTAAATATTTCTACTCCAGTCAAAAGAAGCTTTGCTTTCAGTGTGCTTCCACAAAAATGTCATTGTGTCATTGTTTCCTAGGAAGCTATTGAGAACCAATCCTTTTTTAAGTCTATAAAGAAGATTATTAAGGGAGATGTGAAGAAAGGGTTTGAAGAATCTGATCACATTTTGGAAGGTGAGAATAAGTGTTAATACTTTTACAATAGGATAGTCTGTGACAAAAGAAGTGAAGCTGTCAGCCCCGTTTCTATGCATATAATACCAAGCTCACTCAAGTAAGGCTTGCTGGGCTGAATTTCATATTAAATTTCAACTAACTGTTTACATACAAATAGCTCGTGAAAAATTTAATTTCAGTTTCAAAAGGACTTGGATGCTTTCAGCTTTGCCCCTGTAAACACCATGTCTTCTAATGTAAGGACACATTTTTCTTGAGCAGTTATTCTACAATGTGATTCTTTTTCCTGAAATGTATTATGTAGAAGCTTTGCCCTGTCCAATCATAGTCTAGTCTGATTCTTGGAGACTATCAGTTTCCTTAGTCCTGATATATAACTGTGTCTTATTAAAACAGGACATGCATGCTTCTGAAAACCTGATTCACCAACTTTGGTGGCTGTAGGTATCATGAAGAACATGGGAACTCCTTATAACACTTTTTGAATGTTGTTTGTTGGCCTGTTTTTTCATATGCTCTTGGTCTCATGCACCTGGAGTCTGCTGGGGAGGTTACAGAAGCATGGATAAACACTGCAATTCTCAACAACTGTTTAACCCTGTAAGGATTAGGAGGAAATAGTGCCAGAGATGTGAACTAGAATACTCTGTCAGATCCATGTTGTGTGCCCATGAGAAACAAAGGATAACTTGCTTGGTATATAGCACTGATCAATAGCTTCTGTAAGGAAAAGTCGCATACGTCAGACCTTCTGGAAACTATGTATTTATTTAAAAAAAAAAAAAAAAAAAAAAAAAAGAGGGGTGTTACATCCCTCTTCCAGATCTGAAAACAAAGTTAAGTAAGGCACACAGATGAGGCCTGGTATGAAGAGGTTATTCCTAAAGAAAACAGAGAAGTATTGCCACCCTTACCTCCTCGTGGGAGAAGGAAAGAGCTGTTTAACTGAAACACACCTTTCTAGTTCTGTTGCTTGCTTGCTTGCATTTTGCTGTGCATTGCTGAGACTTTTCTCTGCAGTCAGCCATTGGCCCTGGCATTTCAAGGGTGTCATAAACTCTTGTTTACTGTTCCTTAAGGAGTACTATATTATATAAAATGAAATCATTGGGCCAGGCAAGGCAGAAATTGTTCTGAGCTAGAATATTAGGTTATTAAAAAAAACCACAATACTGTGCAAATGCCAGGCCTACCCCTTTGAGCAAACAAGGGAAAAACCCTTCTATGTACCAGAGTCTACATCCCAGAGTAAGCATAGTCTCACACAAGTGTGCATTTCTCACTGAGGTGCCTAAAGAAGACAGCTATTTTGTTGTCACTAAGTTGAACAGGAGAGGAACAGCATCTTGAGAACTGCTCTGAAAATTATTTTTTGTGACAGCTGAATAGATCAGGGCTGTAACTGAGAAAAAAGGTTGATTCTGAGATGTAACAATATGTAGCATGACTTAAAATTGCACCATCAGCAATGCCAGATAAGATGTCCTGGTACAGTCATGTGCAGCAGCAGAGAACTGATCATGAGTTAGATCATCTTAAGGCATTTGGGGTTTCTATTTTTGTTCCCCTATTTTAAAGTCTGTAATCCTGCATTTGATCTGCTCAGCTAGTCTATGCTTGATTTATTTTTATCCTTTATGTCAGTGGTGTTATCAAGGCAGTCTGAAATGCACCGAACTCTATATTTTAAAGAATGCTAGGTCAATGGTGTGGGGGTGCAGGTTTATTTTTGAAATGCCAGCCACCAGTGCTTCAGACTGAAGATTTCTAGAAAGTGGTTGTTGCTTATTTGTGTGTGTTTTTTGCTTGGTTGGTTTGGTTTTTTTGAGATGAAACTGGAAGTGCCAGTTTTAAAGCTGAAGATATCCAGTGCTGGACAGCATGAAGGATTCTTGTTTAACACATCAAAAGAGCAGTGTTTTGCAGACAACAAGTGGTGGGCAACTTCTTACAACACCAGAGACACCTTACCTATGGGGCATTTCTTTCAATTTTCTAGGAGAGATGTACATTGGTGGACAAGAGCACTTCTACCTGGAAACACACTGTACTGTGGCTGTGCCAAAGGGAGAAGGTGGTGAGATGGAACTCTTCGTGTCAACCCAAAACTTAATGAAGACACAGGTACTACCTCATTGACCTGATACCCAAAACACTTTGGAGTCTCAGTGTTAGAGTAGATAGACAATTGTTTTGCAGTTAGTCCTAGCTTGCCTTGTTTGTGTGTGTGGGGGGAAAAAAGGCACTTAGGCTTAGAGGTGGGTGTAGGATCAAAGTTCACATCCATCGTATTGGTGTCCTGAATCCACTTCCAGGTAAGAGATTTCTCTTGGCAGCACCTCTCTCTTACCAGGGATTACATGCTTAACCCTTGATGGTGAAGCCTGGTTGTTGGATGACGTGTCAGAAAGGGAGGTGGTGCCAATACAGACCAACTCTGCCATTTTGTGGGATAGGCTACAGGTACTATGAGGTGTCTTTGTCCTGTTTACAGACTGACTCACCAAGACTATCCCAAAGCCCCCTAACTTAGTGAGGAGAATGGACAGAGTGGTACAGATGTTAAATGTTGTGCTAAATGAGACCCGTATCTTGGTAACCTCATCTGCTGCAAGTCTTTCTAAATCTGCTGTTTACTGAAGGACTATGTGCTATCCCACCTCAGAGATGAAATGATGGGCTTATGGGTTCCAATTGCAACCAAGTTGATTGCAGGACTGATAGGACCTGGAGCAGTAACAGTATTTCCACTATTACAATGGCTGCAAAAGGCAACGTGTTTGTGTCTGGTTCTTAACACCAGGGCAGTTCCATACATGCTCTGCTGTCCTGTTTTTCTTCAGGAATTTGTTGCTAGTGCACTGGGAGTCCCATCAAATAGGATTGTGGTTCGAGTGAAAAGAATGGGAGGAGGATTTGGAGGAAAAGAGACTAGAAGTACCATTTTGACAACTGCAGTGTCTGTGGCAGCCTTCAAGTAAGTTTCTGTGTGGGGAATAGGACTTTTTCCTTTCACTTCACCTGGTCTAGGCTGCCTCTTTTTGGAGCACAATCTGCACTGGAGCAGACTCTTCATGGCTTTTTACTGTATATCTTGTAGCAAACCCGAGATTTCCTAAAGGAGGCGTATAATGGTCTCTGAGCTGGAAGAAAATGAACCTGTTCAAAAGGACTAAGCTTATTCAAGAATGTCAGCTTTTAACAGGAAAGGGGGGGGGGACTTTTCTGTTCTTGTGTTACATATATATATGTGTACTTTTTATGCGTACACACAGCAAGATACACAATCTAGGCAATTTACCCCTAATGCAGATAGCCATTGCCACCCTAAAAAGACTGAAAAGATTTGAGTATGTCTCCATAGGAACTGTACCCTGCAATTCAGGGTTTGCCTGATAAATGTATCCTTTAACAGAATTGGACGCCCAGTAAGATGCATGCTGGATCGAGATGAGGACATGCTTATAAGTGGTGGGAGGCATCCCTTCCTCGGAAGGTACAAGGTATGCATACGTATGAAATGAATGCATGTTTTTTTTGGTGTCATTTGAAACATCAGAGAGCAGTAAGATATAGCAATAAACTTACTGCTCCGGTTGTTTCACCGCTGATGTTCCCTGCAGCAAATGGATCTGTCAGCCCAGTCACGGCATTCTTTCTGTTAAAGTCCTTTTGCTTCCTGAAAAGTTCTGCTTCCTGTAGCAGTACTTTTGGTTTGGATGGTTCCCCTCTCATGACCTCTGTGTGACCTCTTCTTCCAACAAAGAATCTTCTCCTTGTGAACAATCACATTGATCTTAGATGGCTCCCAATTGGTTTACAGTATTGTACTCCTAATTGTCTTAACTTTCTCCTTCCATTCCTTATTCAGTCCAAGTGCTTTTATTTTTCAAGGCAAAAGATCTGTTAAGGTTATTGTGTGTTAATGTGTGGCTGTGACAATTCGCCTTTATTTTCAGAAGAGTTTTCTGGAGCAAGATTGAGATGCATACAAACACTCTTTACTGGGAAGGTTCCTCAGTAATTACTGTTTTGTCTGCATAAAGTCCATTCAGTTTTTGGAAGGAAGTACAAAACCACATTTTATAGAGAAGACGTTACTGACAATATTCTCTTGACAGGTTGGTTTCATGAAAAACGGGAAAGTGAAGAGTCTGGAGGTGTCATACTACAGCAACGGGGGCAACTCTGCAGACCTCTCTTATGGTGTAAGTAAGAGAAGTTTTCTGATAGTTAACTATGTAGAAGACATTTCCCTGCGTAACCTTTTTCTTCAATTTAAGAGAACTTACCTACAGCAGTTCTTATACATCCTCCACGCTGACATGATTGTAAGCAGATTCTGATGAGTGTTGTAGCTTCTACAACTTCTGTCTGAGCCAACCTACTTGTCTTGACACGTGCCACACAGTTTTTATTGATGCCATAGTAACTTGGATAGGGCAAAAGGGTCAAGGGAGTTTGCTTTGCCTTACAGAAGACTGTGATGGAAAACTTACTACACAGTACAAGATGGCTAATGCTCCCCCAGCTTTGGGGAAAGCTAGTTTCTTGGAATAAGAAATGCCAAAGTCAATAGCCTGATCAGGGCAGGCTGCCTAAATCAACAAGTTTGTTAAGGAGTGACCAAAGCTAACAGAAGCTCAGCATTGGAGTTCAGAAGCAATAAGGACAAGGTTGGGCCTGATTTCAGAGTTTGTTTTCAAGAATTTTTGCACTGTTCAGTAGAAAATTTTCCTTTTCTGTTGTGTGTGTCCAACCCATTAGCCTAGTGTTAATCACACTCGCTTTAGTTCTGCTTCCCAAGTCTGCTGAGTCTTTGATAATTTTCTGCAAAAATTAATCCATTTCAGCGAGAGAGGGCTGCAAGTACTAGAGTCACGTTTGACACTAGCAATATGCTTGGTGCTGTACAGAGAGGAATGTCAGGCATTTGTCTTCGCATAAACTGTGGGCGTGGCTGGGAGTACATACACATGCGTTGTCTGACTGTTTGAATTAGGAAACTGGGAAGTGCTCCAAGTTGAAATAGATTTGAGATGTGCATAATCTCCTCCCTGCTGCTGGGAACAAAAGCCAGAAAGAAGATCTGGCCCTTTCTCAGTTTGGACAATTAGTGGACAAAGATCTGAAATCTTGTGGTTTAGATGAAGTTACTGAAAATATTTATTTGCCCTTACTACTCCCGTAGCCCAGCTGCTGAGTCACTTGACATCAGCAATACGTCTTTTCCAGGAACAAATTACTCTGTATATTTAAAAGAAGATTCTTGAGCTTCCAGGCGGGTAATGGCATTTAGTAACAGTTTGTCCCAGCAAGAGCCCAAGGCCAACTAATAACTTTGAAGCTCAATCTGTTCCAGGACCCTAAATGTTAAGAGAGAAGCGTGCTTATCTTCCTTTCTGTCAGGAGGATGAGGATACTGCTTGACACTCCAATACAAACAGGAAGGAGTACTGGCTGCACCTCAGTGCTCATTCATGTTAACTGCAGACCTGTGGGATGCAAGAGAAAATGATTCTTTTATTGCTTTGCACCTTTCCAGGCTGTCCTTGGCAGGTGATCAAAAGTCTGACATGTAATTCATGTAAAATGTATATATCCCTGTCCCTTCTCTTCACCAGGTTATGGATAGAGCCCTGTTTCATCTGGATAACTCCTACAACATCCCCAATGTTAGCAGCATGGGCACTGTCTGCAAGACCAACTTGTCTTCCAACACAGCCTTCCGTGGCTTTGGAGGCCCCCAAGGAATGATGGTTGCTGAGTGCTGGATGAGTGATATTGCTCAGAAGTGTGGCCTACCACCTGAGGAGGTACAGATCCCCTGACACGTTTCAGGACAGTGCTGCCTTTGAACAAGCTCTGAGAACTGGAAAAAAACACAGAAAATTATGAAGCATAAGAATTTTTTGCTTCATTTTCTGCTGAGTCCTTAGCAGAAACTCAGGTTTTCTCTTTGATAGTCACATTATAGCTTGGTTCTTCCTTCTAGCATCTTCTGCTTCCTTATATTCCCTAAGTAGCCTCAATTGTGTAATACCTGTTTTAACAGTAGGTATTCAGAAAAACCCTAAAGGTACTAAGCACCTTAATCTTATTAACAATATGCTAACACTTTCTCTTGAAAGTTCCCAGCTTTAATGTCTTACATTCCATTTTCCCGTAAACAGATTTGTGTCTGTTAATTCTACTGCTCTGTAGAGCGAGCAGAGGAGGAAAAACTAGGAACCAATGTTCTTTTGATGACATCCATTAAAAGGACCTAGTTTGAAACATTAAACTTGACACATCCTTTATATGTCTCTTTCTTTGGGAAGGTACGGAAGCTCAATCTTTACAACGAAGGAGACCTCACTCATTTTAACCAAAAGCTGGAGGGATTTACTCTACAGAGATGCTGGGATGAGTGTTTATCAAGCTCTAGCTTTCATGCCAGGAAGAAACTAATTGAAGAATTCAACAAGTAGGTGTTCTGCAGCTGTGGTGTTACTGGGTGTACCTGTTGCCTTCTAACTTCTGGTATTCTCTTAGCAACTTGAGCGATGTGAAGTTAGTCTATGTATTTGCAGAATGACTTCTAAAAATTCCTCTTTTTGAAATTCCTACAGGCCCATTGTGTGAAGTAACCTTTATCAGTGGTGTGGTGGTTTAGATAAGGCCTAGCATGACATGGTTTTGTAAGGGAAATGTAGCAGAGGAGAGATGTCTGTAGAATCTAGGCTTTGCTTGACTTTTAATATGGCTGTCAAGGCAATTTGTGTAGACTTTGCGCTGTCTTTCTTAATTGGCTTGTATTTATAACTAGGTAGCTAATAGTCGATACAAATGCTTCTCTAATGCCTAGGAGGCCATCTTCAATTCAGATTTCTTCCTGTACCCATAAACAAAGCCATTCTCTCTTAAAAATTACTGATTAACTCCGACTGTGTTACATTCATGTATTTAAATTCTGCTTTGATACCCAATCTGTCAGAGTTATACAGCACCAAATTTAAATGAAAGCTTCATGACTATACAAAAAATATTCTTTCCTTGCAGGCAGAATCGCTGGAAGAAAAGAGGAATGTGCATTATTCCTACCAAATTTGGCATCAGCTTCACTGTCCCATTTCTGAACCAGGTCCGTAAGTGTCATTCACCTTTTCAAGTAGAGGAGATAGATTTATGATGTCTTTCCCAGACCCCACTCCCTTTGTACTTAACCAGAGCTTTTCAGAGAAGTGGTTAAATTAGTTAAGAAAAAGCACAAAATTTTTGAACCAAAACGAGCAACACAACAGTTACAATTTATACAGTCCAAAAAAACCACCACAATGCAGCTATGTTGTTACTGTATTAATTTCCCTTCCTGTTCTCTCTTCCTCAGTGGTGGAAATACTGTGACATTGAAATATGGTCACTGTCATTCATATGTTTAACCTGATTTGATGGACTGTCAGTGGTGTTGACAAATTCAAGTGCACAGTGTTATCTCTGTTTTACAGGAGAGGTTTGGGTTACTTCACCTGTTTTCTCAGGTGAAAATACTGGCTGAGGTTTGCCATGTCACTGGAATTTCTGTTGAGCTGGTGACACTAAACCAAATTCACCCCAGGTTTAAACTAGTGGCTTTAGTTACTTGAAAGAACAACGCTGGTCTAGTTCCAAATTCATTCTCTCTGTAATTTTTAACTGGACTCTGCCAAGCACTTCACTACTTCATTTATGATGACACTTGGAATAAACTTGGAATGATATTCCCTTTTATAGGCTGGAGCTCTGGTCCATGTATATACAGACGGCTCTGTGTTAGTTACACACGGTGGGACTGAGATGGGTCAAGGACTTCACACCAAAATGATCCAGGTAATAATGAATTTGGACTTAACTGCATGAGAAATATTTTCAGCTAAATTATACTCATTTTATAGCATTGCCTCAGACATCCTGACACCTCTTTTGTAGGCATGTGTAGGGTAATAAATCATGACTAATTCCTTCAGCAGCAGTGCTAGGTTTCCAGAGTATTATTACAGCTGAGCAGGAAAACTCGAATCCTCATAATTTTAGCTCTTCTTATTGTAGATAATACAGCTTATGGATTGGCAAAAGTGTATATGTATCTACTTGGACAGTGTCTGTAAGGGCAAACTTAATTTTCTGGCTAGCTCTCAAGCACCGAGTCAACTGATACCCCAAGAAAGATGAGATTTAGTACTGGAAGAGGGTGAAGGCTGCAATGTGGACCCTAGCAGTGTAGACAGTGAATGATCATGCCCTCCTAAAAGCCTCTTACCATTTGTTTTCCTTTGTTCTGCAGGTTGCTAGCAGGTCACTGGGAATCCCCACCTCCAAAATTTACATCAGTGAGACCAGCACAAATACTGTCCCAAATACCTCTCCAACAGCTGCATCTGTCAGCGCAGACATCAACGGAATGGCTGTCCATGTACTGAAACCAAGTTATTTAAACAGTTGGGTCATGAGCTGGGACTCCAGAAGATGAAAAGTTGATACATATTTATCTATAGCTTAAGGAAAATACAACATTCAAAAGGGACTTGCAGGCAAAGGATACCTCCTAATTACTGCCATAACTACTGGGGGTGTTAGATAATGAATGACCATAATTTTTTTTTCTATTTTTATTTAACTCTCTCTTTCAGACTTTTTGTAGTCATATAATACTGTTTCTGTGATTACTCAAAAACAGAACAAAGCATCTGTTTAAATGGCTAGCTTCTCAGTAATTAATGAGACCTTATCTATAGCAATATATTATGCTACAGGTAGTACTTGCAGGTTGTTTGTGGGCTGTGCTGTAGAACCAAATACCTCTAAGTGTTAGACACTTGGAGCAAATAGCCTTCTGTGGCAATGGCGTGGTTATGATTGTCCCTGACATGGTGTGGAACCTACCAGTGCATCTATTTGCAGGGTGTGTGACACTTCCATTGGAAAGAGAAATTTAGTCTTGGTCAGTCTTGTGTTTGAAGAAAAGAGGATGGATAATCTCAGAAGTAAAAAAAAATATATATATATATAAATATTCGTGGTTTGATTCGGTAGGTTGGGCTCTTCACAGCTTGATTCAATAAGCTGAATTTTGGCAAGAATATTTTTTCAGTGTTATTACATCATCTTGCTGCATATGGCAATGTGTCCCACTATGACTTGGTGCAGGTAAAGTTGCTTCATAAATGGACTTGTGATGTTATGCGTCATGGTCTGGTGAGTTCTGTGCTGTATTTGGGATTCTCCTCTGCTATCAGCGGAGACAATCTGTTTTAAAATCCTATTCAGTCAACATTCCTCCTACGCAGCAAGCCTTCTGTTAGTGAACTTTGATCCGTTTTATGATATGCCAAAGTCCTGGAGGCAATATTGATTTAAACAGAAGGTTCTTTGAGACTGGTATTACACTCTTAATACTATAGGCTGACTTTTCAAATCTTCTAATACTGCTTTTCGTTATTTGTTTTTAGAATGCATGTCAGACCATCTTAAAACGACTTGATCCAATCAAACAGTCTAATCCCAAAGGATCCTGGGAAGACTGGGTAAGCTGTCTGTATATGTCATGGGACAGGTGGGCATTGTCACAGGTTGTTTGCACTGACAAGTCCTGTATACAAGTTATCCTCCAGGTCTGCATCTCACTAGAAAAGATTTGAGGAAGAACAGCAAAGCAGAAACCTGGCAAGGGAAGTAATCAAAGCTGGCAAGGGTTCATTCCCAAAACATCAGCTGTGACTTTAATACAGAGATTTCCCCAGATCCTGGGGCCTGCCCATGACAAACTTTATCAAATAAGTTTTGAGTGTTTACATATATCTATGTAGTCAGGTTCCAGTCCCTGACAGGAAGAAACCTAATTTGTAAATGATGAGATTCTGTGACAAAGATGACTTTGAGTTACCAGCCACCTCCTGTAGTGCTTCTTGGCTGTGATTTAAATAATTATAAATAACCTATAAAATATACCTATAAAACCTATAAATAACTTATAACCTAAATAACTCTGTAACCTCAATAACAAGAGATTGGTGTGCTGTAACACTCTAAAACTATTTTCAATAGCAAGCTTTAAGATTTTATTTCAATAGAATCTCCTCTTCAAAGGAGGAGCTTCGATTTTGTGATTTGAATGTCAGGACAGGATTTCTCCTGGCCTCAGCGAAGTCAAGGAGACTGATAGTTTAACTTTTGTCTCTGAGCTTCAAAGACTAATCTGTTGCTGAGAGACAAATAAGTCTTACACCTCTGCTGCTATACCTTGGTAGCTGCTGACGAGGCTATCTGGGGAAGCAAGATGATGTTTCCCTTGGCAGTGTTGGTGCTGCGTAGTGTCACAGCTGTCTGTCATTGGACACCTGTTTGTGCTCTCCTTGAAGTGCATTTGGGAATGATGTATTTGGGGTAGCTGTTTTTCCAGGCACTGGTTGGACTACTATTGTTTTCAATTTCTTATTCTCTTTGGCAGATTAAAACCGCCTATGAGGACTGTGTTAGCCTGTCAGCCACGGGGTTTTATAGGTGAGTGAATATTCACACTACAGAGACACAGTTCTTAGTTGCATCCAGGGAGATTCTGGGAGGATTTACAGCCCTAATCCCTCTGTCACTGTTCCAACCCAGGGCTGTATGCCCTTTGCTGCCTAGAATCATTGCAAATGACCTCCAAGAAATGTTCAACTGCATTCAAAAAGCAAAGGATTTGCTACTGGATTTATGGCAATGAGTCCATAATACTCACCCTTATATCTGAGATCCATTGGAAAATAGCGAAAATAGTTTCAATAAGGTTTGTGAATACAGGGCAGCTTCAGGAGATTTCTATTTATAGTTGTTTACGCTTTTCATTTCAGCATGGGTTTGATGGAGGAGGTAAAACACGAGTGAATAAAGATTTTAATTTGTGGAATGAAATCTGGTTTTGTTTTTCTTTTGTGTCAAGAATTCCTGACCTTGGCTACGATTTTGAGAAGAATGAAGGGAAACCATTCTGCTACTTCAGTTATGGCGTTGCGTGCTCCGAGGTTGAGATAGATTGCCTGACAGGTGACCACAAGGTGAGGGGATCATCAGTGAAATAGCCTTTTTTTGTTTACGTATAAGAAACGTTCAGAGGGAATTAGAACAAATAGTGGGTGTCAGCCTGTTCCTAGCTCAGTCATTGGTCCAGCGTGACCTTCACTGGATTTCTTAACTCCTGTGGTCCACAGTGCAACAGTCCATAAAGTATAATAAATTGAGAATTATCTGACCTGCGGGGATACTAGGAGGCTTAATGAATGATTGCAAAAGTTATTGGATTTGCTTATGTAAGAGATATCAGCGCTGTGTTAGCACAAAGGAACAGCAACGTACGAGAATTGAGTTAATCATTAAAACTAACACTGGGATCTTTTAAGGGTGAAAGACGAGAGGGTGAAAGAGGGAGGGAGTACTCACGAGAAGAGGGGGTTGGGTGGGAGAGAAGACGATTCATTAGCATTTGGCCTAATTGGCTATGCTTAGGTACAGAGCACTGACACTGGCAGTTTTAATTAATGCAGATTGGGTCTGATGGATCTTTAGGGAAAACTGCAGTGAATTCCTTGGTTTTACTTTAGAGATGAACTCCCTTCAAAAGATAGTTTGAAGAATTGAGCTTGACATGGATTGTTGAACAATGGCCAAATGTGGATAGTGGTGGATATCTTACGCCTCCTCGTATAAAACCATGGTGTGCCAGTTTCAATGTCTGTGCCGATTTATTCTTTATTTCTGTCTTTTAGAACGTTCGCACAGACATTGTCATGGATGTTGGCACCAGTCTCAACCCAGCCATAGATATAGGACAGGTAAGTGAAAGTGTGTCACTAATTTCACTGTGTTAAAGTGATCATATTACCCTCAGGCTTTTCTAGATGAAGCATTATCCCACTCCAGCTTGTACATTTGCAAGCAGAATGTTTTAAACTTAAACTGGATATCCAGAGATGCATTTTAAGATGGTTATGAAAGTTTGACCCACAGTTAACAATGCAATAGGCACATAATTTTGTAGGGAAATACCTTTTTATTAGTAGTAGTATTGGATATAAAGACTACAGCGTATTCACCAGTTACCACTACACCAATGCTTTTCAATGTATACCTCACCTAAGAAATTAATCCAGAGAATATTAATACAATGGAATAACCTCATCCCAGGGCCAGCTTCTGCTATGTGGCATGTCTAGGATAAATCCCACACCCTATTTCTATACTCGGATCTGTCAATATCAATTCCCATTTAATTAAGTGAAAGTTCTTCTGTGAATAAAGAGTTGGGGCAGTTGTTTCTGTTCTCCAGCTAGTGCTGTGCAGGGATCTCAATAAGAAGTTGGACGAATTACTTAGCTTGCAAATTTTCAGGCAGATACAAATGTACTTCTGTATTTTGTACAGTAATAATCACAATGAAACTACCCAGCAAGTAAAGGTAATAAAGATAAGGTTGTCTGATATACCGAGAGGTCTATCTAGACATTTGCACCTGTTTACCCAGGCAATGCTGCCTTGCTAACTCTAGGTGTCAGTATAGTGCAACTCAGTGGTGCTGCTGCAGGATTTATTTCCAGAACACAAGGTGCATTGAAAGCATCATGTTTTCGGAGAGACTTTTTTTTTTTTTTTTTTTTTTTTTGGAAGTGGCCAGGGGGAAATGGGGCTTTTCTGTCTTCTCAGCATATTAGATTGGGGCTGGGAATAAAGATATGGGCTATGTGGAACCTGTCAAAGACATGACAGTTTCCTGTGTCCTTCCATGTATCACTGCAGTGAACCTTGGGGACAAAAGTTGTATGGCTGCTGGATTGCAAGCACATGGAGCTGGGTTAAGGAATGTTTGTGCTGAATCTTTAGAGTAGTCTGTTTGTCAGATCTCTCAGTGGACACAGAGAACAGAGCTTCCTCATATAGGGCTGTTTGAGCGCATCCTCCTCTCATAGCTGCTTTCCTTCTTTTTTTTCTTTTTCTCTTAAAATTTAGAGTAGAAAAGTTATGCAAAGAAGCCTTTAAGAGTTGAATGGATATGGGAGTGTTATTGCATGGCTCTGTACTGGTAACCAGAGAATATGCAGTACTCAGGAAAGCATTCGTACTGAAATAGCAAACATAAAATAGTTTGTTTTCAGATAAGTTTACTTCAGTCCTTTTGATCTTCTTTGAATTATCAGCAAGTACAATTCATTCGGTGCTTATCTGCCTGTGAAGGAATCAATATTTTGGTATTGATTTTTTTCCCCTTGTTTCATCAAAAATATCCTGTCCTGCATTTACAGTATATGTGCTTGCTGTATAGATAGATTGCTTCATCTGCCAGGAAGATGCAGTCATATCTATATTGGGAACACAGAAGTTGCATAAAGGTGCCAAACCACTCAGCAGAAGGGACAAGGGTTTAGAGACAAAAAATAGGTATTTAGCTAGGAATGGAGGGCTGGAAACTCTGGCTGAAATTGTCACTGTTTGTTCAACAACAACAATGAAAAAAGAATGTAACCTTGTTTGGATGTTTTTGTAGATAGAAGGAGCGTTTGTCCAAGGACTTGGGCTCTTCACCATGGAGGAGTTACGCTATTCCCCAGAAGGGAACTTGTACACACGAGGGCCTGGAGCGTACAAAATCCCTGCGTTTGGAGACATCCCAACAGAATTCTATGTGTCACTTCTCCGTGACTGTCCAAACAGCAAAGCAGTTTATTCATCCAAGGTATGCTTGCAAGATCTTGCAGGCCTCTTACTGCTCTAGACTTCTGTAAATGTGTGGTAAAGTAATGGTGTGTGTCAGAATAGTTGATTTTCTTATGCTGGCTTTACTCTTGGGTCAGGATGCTTTTCTATTCCTTACCAGAAACATGTACACTGCTGTTTATTGTACAGAGGACCAGAAGTAATCTGCACGTTGCATCCCTGATTGTCCAGTAGAAAGAGCTGAAACAACTTTGCTGTGCTAGAAGCTCTCCTCTAACAGAGGCTGCAAGCCTTCCCCTGCATGCCCACACCCTTGCTGTCATCTCCCAAGGCCCTGATTACCTTTCCCTGGCAGCAGAACCACCACTGTGAATGACATTTCCAGTAGTACCATTTCCCCAGGTGTGATGTACCAAGATCTTGTGTCTGAATTTTCACATCTTGCTTCCTTTGCTGTTTCACAGCAGCATTTCACCCTTAAAGGTTCATTATTAATCCACATCTTCAGCTGTTTCCATTGCAATCAATACTGATGCCTGCAGCTAGTCATGTCTGCATATACAGTATGAAAGAGTTTGCTTTACTTATGGTTCAGTGGAGCATTTAGAAAGGCCACCCAGCATCATTATGACCTGTGTGCATCTTGCCAGCTTCCATTCTTTGTCTCGTTCCCCTCTATCCACAAAAACATCTTCATCAAAGAGGAGAACTTGGCTGCTGGTGTCAGAATTGAGAAAAAAGGGTCTCGGCATGGATCTCAGTGTGCTGTATTAGACAGTATGTGTGTAATCCTTGTTGGTTTTCAAGGACCTCCAGTAATGGGGTGTCATGCACTCTGCCTAGACAACTCACCACTGCCTTATCTGAATGCCCTTTGCTGAAGTTTTATTATCACCCAAAGGGATATGGGAAAGGGTTAGTACCTGCTTTCCTTTATAGCAGCCTTGCTATGTTTGAAAGCATATACTTTGCCACTGAATCTTCTTAAAATGGACCGGGGATTGTGTTTTTAGCATGATCTTTCCTCACCGATCACACCTGGTAGCCTGGAATCTGTTTTAGTTTGGTGTTTCCTCACTAACCACATCTGGTAGACTGAGGTTCACACCTGAGAGGTGACCTGCAGTTTTGGCTTGGCCTTTCCTTGTTGATCACATCTTGAAGACTGTGAAGTTACAAAGAAGGAAAGAGGAATGAGAATTGTCATCTAGGGCCTGCTCATCTTTCTGTTAGCCCCATTAGTCTCTCTAGAATCAGGACTGTTTTGGGCTGCAGCCTCAATCTTGCTTGTGTTCTGTCTAGGCTGTGGGAGAGCCACCTCTGTTCCTGTCTGCCTCAGTGTTTTATGCCATTAAAGATGCCATCTACTCAGCAAGGAAGGAGTCCGGCCTGACTGAACCATTCCGGCTGGACAGCCCTGCCACCCCAGAGAGGATCCGCAATGCTTGTGTGGACATCTTCACGAAAATGGTAAAAGCTTCTGGTTTCATAGTCTGCTCCCTGACCAGCATGTTCTGTGTGTGCTAGTCGCCGTGGCTCAGGTCTGGGATTAGGGCAGTGTGGGGAAGCTATGGCCCTACTTAAGCATCTGGTTTTTATTTCATGAGTATTATACTTCACTTAACATGCCACCAAATGAGAGACAAATCCTCTGACCAGCACTATTTGGGCTGCCATTGCAGAAAGGGATGTCACATAATATTTCTCAAGTTGCAGTTCATCCTCTTAAGTGCAGTCTATAGAAGGCATTGACCTGTCCTGCTGCTTCTGACCCTCATCTCTTAGGGGATCACAACAGTTAATGCATACTGCAGCTCTACTGTGTGATTTATTGGCCTCCCTCCAATAGGGAGAGCAAAGAAGTGTTACTGGAAATGCTCAATTCTGCTGGATGTTATGACCTTGGGAGTCTCCTTAGAGGGTGTGGGCTTCACCTGAAGGAATGCAGGATTTAACACTGTCACCATCTCCTCATGGGTTTATTCTCTGTCAGAGTGCTGTGACAGGGCTGCACAGGATTATGTCCCTGCACAAAGTCCTTCTGATTCCTTTGTGACTCCAAAAATCTCACTGTTCACATGGGCATCCACCAGGCTTTTGTCAGCTTGAACCCTGCTGTTGTTAACAGCAAAGCCTGGATACCTTGGTTCTCCTCACCAAACACCTACATCGCTGTCTGAGTAGGAGGACTCAGAAATAACTGTGAGAACAAGGCCTTCAGCTAGAGCCAGGCACAGCCTTTAACAGAAGTGCCACAAGACAGACATCTCTGTGTTTTGAAAGACCAGTATCTGAGCTCAGATCTCAGTGGTGCAGAGTCACTTACCCCAGAGGAAGCATGGTGGGGCACACTGAACTAGATCAGAACCTTCATTGTTGTTGCTGTTGCTTACTGTATTTTTTTTTCTTCTCTTTACAGTGTCCTTCTGCTGAGCCAGGGACCTTTAAACCATGGTCTGTGCGTGTGTAAATGGAGAGTCTGAGGAGCAAACTCTCCTCGTGAAACTGCCCTGTGGTCCCTCCATTGTAAACCCAGTAGGACTATAATGAGAAAAAAAGAATCGGCGCTCATGTGGCTCATCTATTTTGATTCATAGAGCTTTCACGTTTAATTGTTCAATCATTGTTTCCTCTAGGAGAGAGGATTGCTGCCAGATTATAGCTGTGATTTTTTTTTTTTTTTTTTACTGTGGGGAAAAGAATACACCTTCTGCTGTAATGCCAGGAAGGACTTAAATGCATCGAACCCCCCCAAAAAAAAAACAGTCCTCTTGCGGACATGGGGAAAGGCATTAGGGGCACTGAGGGCTGGACCCTATCATGTTGCCTCAGCACACACAGCTAGCTATATATCGGAGGAATTTTGACATTAGCTAACTGTGGAGAAGGTCTTACATGTGTAGTGGCCATCGTTCAGAGGGCAACCCTGAAATGTGACCGATAGCTGATTTATCCTGTTATACGAGGATTGCTTTGTCTACAACAGGTCTTTAATGATTTTTTAGTTCATGTGCTGCCTTATCTTCTCCAGTTGAAGACAAAAATGAGAGATACCAAGACTTCCAGCAAGATGCTTACTCATTCACGTGTTCAGCCTTTTTCCTCTACATCTTTCCCTCATCTTTTTAAATAGCTGAGGAAGAACTTTGAAGTAACAAGAAGTTACTGACCATTGTTCCCAAGGCAATTTATACCACCCTGGGTGAGGGAACAGGACAAGAATGGACAAAGATGTGGGATTAGTTGGCTCTGTGTTTCCTCTAGGAATAAATTCCTTGCTTTCATGCTATGGTCTTGCTGCCTTTTCAAGAAAACTCTTAGTTTTGCTGAATGTACTGGAATTGGGTGTATTGCTACATGGATTGCTTGTCCAAAAATGTGCTAATGATGTGATGACCTCTTGTCTTTTGAGTTCAATGTGTTTTTAATGTTGGATTGAAGTCTGGGCATCCTTCTTCACAGGTTTTGTTACTGTCAGTAACACAGTGGCATCATGTTTTCTCTAGCTGATGCCATCCGTGTACTGTAACTGCTCATCACATGCAAACTTCTATCTATTTCTCTGGCCCACAGCTCTATGAAAATGTCCTTTTTTTTTTTTATTCTAGCACTCCTAGGGACAACAAAAATATGAGGCAATAGGATATAACTTCATTGTCTTAAAGGAAATTTTGCTTACATACATCCTGCTTAATATTGGCTGCCATCTTAGGACTTAACAATGTATACAGAGTTTGAAATATTTTTTGAAGCACTCCAGGGCATACAGTTTGGAAATATGTATAATATTTCAAGCTGAGAATTACATCTAGTTCTACCATCTGGAAAAAGAGCATTTTTATATTCCAAGTTACAGGAAGTATTTTGTGCCTGCTGAACTTGGTATCTAATTGTTTTATTAATTAAAATAGATTATGGGTGTTTCTCTACTGATCGGGTAGTGGGTGAGAACACATTCTTGTTTTATTCTGAAAGCTGGCAATACATTAAAAAAAAAAAAAAAAAAAAAAGCAAGCAAGAACTCTTAGAAAAGGAAAAAAAAAAAGTAATCACTTGTGTGCCAGAACAGCTAGCTATTGGAGTCTGTGTATTCATTGTCTTTGTCCAGGAAGGGATGCAAAATACCAAGTCTGTGAGGTAGATGGGCATCAGCACTCTCTGCATTGTTCCACCTCACGAGATTGTTGGATGCGCTCATTCTACCCAGAACAAAAAGGGACTGTAAAGTGTGTTAATGCAGAACATGGCAAGTTAGAGGCAAAGAGTGTGACACCGGTGAGCTTCCAGCATCATTTAAGTGTTCACAAAGAGTCACTGACAGGGAGCACATCCCCTGTGACGGGATGTCACCCAGCAGGATGAATGTGCTGTTTATCTGCTGTGGTTCTGGCAGCACCTTTTTCATGATTTCAGAACGGGTTTGTGGTATCTCACACAGCCACGCTGACTGCCTAGTCAGCTGAAATTCTTTAATGATTTATGTAGTTTCACTTTTGTTATTCATTTCATGCATTAATCCAATGTATATTTGCCAAGTTATGTATTTATGCAGTGGTCAAAGCAAGCTAGTTCAGTGCAGGCCTTAGCCTGTGGAGCAGTTCTGCTGCAATATCTGTGATCCACAGTTTCAGGTACCAGTCTTTGCTCTCAGGCCCACCTGAGCTTAGGGCCCGCTTATTTTACCCTTCCATGGCTGCTGGCTGTCAGGAGGAAGAAACGTCTTCCTTTTTGAAGACACTGGAATGGAAAGGAGATGATATCAGACACCAGTTGGGGAGTGGTATAAAATTAAGGTTACAAAATAATCTACAGAAACTGGTTTTGAGGGTAAGGTTGGAAACCAGTGGGAATTTACAGAGATCAACCGGGGTGGGCTATGTGAGCACTGAGGACCCTAAAGAATATGAAGCTGAGATTTTCATTTAATTTTTCTGATAGTGTCTTAACATTTCATACATTGCTTTTCCATGGAACTAAGTGTCAGATAACCCCAGGGAAGGACTGGATCCCTTTGTGTAGGGCTGCAAGGAAGAGATAATACTGACAAAGAATAGTCCAACTTAAAATGTGGTCTGTGCTACTAAACTGAGAACAACTCTATTTTTAGTGCACATTATTGTCCTCTGATAGATGCTCTGTCAGATTTCTTGATGCACATCTCTCTGCATAGGATTTCAGCTTGCAGTTGTTGATGGGAAATCTTCTAAAGATAAAATACTTCTTTCCTAGTACTTTTCAGTGAAAAATAGTATGGATGCCTGGCTAATGTTATGTATAATTGGAAATCTGCCCTGCTTCTCTCCTTCCAGAACTGTATCCTTGGGAGATGAACCATCTTGTTAGACTGTAAATTGTAATGTGCAATAACAACATTTAAGTAATCATTGCAGTAGCTTGATAGTTTGTGGAAGGGCTAAAGGAGGTCATCGGATCTGATGTCTTAAATAACATTAATTGCACATCCCACTAAAAGAGATGAAAGCTGATCTTCAGTAATTGTTTAAGCTCTATTATAATTGGCAGCTTTCACTATCATTCTTCAATGAACATAGTCAAATTGGTATCTCTGTCACATGAATGTGTGTGGAATTTTCTGTGAATGTCACAACATTACAAAATAAAACTAAAAAATATCCTGGAAATCAGTATGCTACAGTAAAAGTCCGTCACAATTTGAAAACAGGACAACTTCAGATCATCCTTTGTTTTTAACAAGGATGGACCCTTCTCAGAGGCTGCAAGGCAGGTCAGCTCCATGGCTGACAGATGGTGAGGGGGTTGCTCCAGGTTGCCAGGCAGTACGCTGCTGGAGTGCCTCTCTATGGACCATGCTGGCAGTCAAGTCCAAAAGAAAGTAGGGTCCATGGTGCTTCTCCACCAGGAAAATCTTACAGTAGCCACGTCCCGTTTTTACAGGAGAATAGTGATGCATCCTGATGCTTCTAGCCACCTCCACTGGACCCATCAGCTGCTGAGAAAAGGTGGCAGGCACTGCACAACATAGGCAGGGGAGAGCCTGCCTGCACCACAGGCTGTCTGCACGGTGTGACTGGTACCTGGTCTAGGTGGCTGTGTTCTTAAATCGCAGCTAGTGAGTGCTGGCAAAAACTAAGCTTGGCCCATTTAAAACAGCCTTGTAAAGGGGAACCTGCTGTCACTCAAAACTTGTTAGTGGAGCAAGCATCATGTTACATTCCCAGCGATCTTTTAAGTCTGGACATGCTGGAGATGTGGGGTCATAAAATAGGAAACAGTCCACGCAGAACTGTTATGAGCAAATGACAGGTGAGGCCTGGACTTCCCAGAACACGAAAGGGTTGGGAACATCACCAGTGGTTCCCCAGTAGGGTCTGCCACCCTGTATCATCTCGCCTACGTTTGTAGAGTAGACGGGCCTCCCCACCATGCAGTTCCTCAAAAATTGGTGTGTAGTCCCATAACTTATCACCGGTGGGCCTGTTTTTGTCCCTTTCCCCCTTGAAATCTAGTTTAAAGCCCTGACAATCAGTCCTGCTAACTCATGGGCAAAAATCCTTTTCCTCCTAAGAGAAAGGTGCGAGTCAGCAGGCCTCCCACCTCCCACAGCTGTGCTCTCTGCTGTCATTATGGTACTGGCATAAGAGTGTGCCAGCAGCCTGACACCTGAGTGGCAGCAAGTTCCCCCTGAACCTCTGGTAGGCTACATCAGCTGTGGTGGGTGCTGAAGCCCTTGAGGCCACAGCCTTCTTGCTGGGTGGTCACCATCACTCCAGGGACAACCTGGCCACTCTTCAGCACCCTTCCTCCCCACCCTGCCAGCATTAACAGCTACACCATGCCCTATTTGCCTGCTCAGTTCACCCTCCTCACTCATGTACCATAGGGGGTGCCTTTGAATAACTGGGGGTGTGGGGGTGCTTCCACTGAACACATCAGCCCTGACCGATGTCAATGGGCTCAGCCAGTGACTATAAATAACATGGTGGTTATGCCCCATGTGAATAACCTGCTGGGGCTGCTTCTGGCTCTTCCAAGCCTCGTCAGCTACCTTCACCAGGGCTGCCAGATCCTGGTCAGCTACCTCGAGTGGCCTGGATGCAGGAAACCCTCTGCACGCCATGATCCTCCCCTGCGCTGCAGAACATGTCTGCCCAGGAGTTGGTCACCTCAGTGAGTGCCTTTAAAATGGCAGCTCCTTGCTTTTTTTGTGGAACTGGTTCTTAAACAAGTGCTTTGCTGGTCTACTATTTTGCGGTTGCCATCTCCAAGGGGGGTTGTCATGACCCCTCCGTCGGTGTTTCAGTCGCAGCCCGGCAGGTGCGGCGTGCTGAGGCAATTTTTGCTTCCCTGCGCAGCCGCTTCGTGGTGCCCTGCTCCCAGCACAGGGACGGGCCGGGACCGGCGCCATGACTGACGGCGCCTCGGCTGAGGAAGAAATTCTTCACTCTGAGCTACCGGGAGCTTCCCATTTTATTTCTCCTCCACAAGCTGCTGCCATCCCTCGCCCCTGAGAGTAGAAGGGCTTGCGCCTTCCACCTGTTGGAGGCACGGCAGCTTTGCTCGACTCGCTGCAGAAAGCGCTCACTCCCTGTTTCCTGAGGTGCTGCATGTGAAGGAAGGTATCCGGCATCAAAGTGAAATAAATCTTATCAGCCTTGGCGGCCAGGTCACCCGGAGAACACTGAACATGGTGAGGGAAGCCTGTAGTGGAGCGCTGCCACAAGCCAGAACCCCAGCACAGGGCAGGCTCCTCTCCACTTACTCCCATTTCATGGGGTTATAAAGAAGTGTTTTTTGTGTCATTGAGCTCTCTGGGCTGCATCCCTGTGACTGTTAGAGCTGACGGATGCCCAGCCCCTGCTTTCCCCGGTTGTGGTGTTCACAGATCCTGACTACAGCTTCATGCTGTGCTGCAGGTCTCTGCTAAGGCAGCGCTTCTGGTGTGAACTCCTCAGCTGCCGCTCAGCTCAGCTGAGGTGAACTTGCAAAGGAAAAACACAGCCAGAAATATTTGGAGACCAAGCAGTGGTAAATTGGTTTGTACATACAAATGCACAACTCCCTGCAAACAACGGCCTTCGGATCTGTTAATTGTTTAACATCAGATATTAAAATATGCCAAGCAAAGGAATTATTCTCCACAGGTAGGGTTGATTTAGGAACCCAAATGACATAGCTTCTTGCATCAATTTGGCATATGAAGTGTTTTTTTTGTTTGTTGGTTTTTTGTTTTGTTTTTCTGAGAAAAAAAAATCAAATAAAAAGCAAACAAAAGCCAGAGAACAACAACAACAACAAATAGGTAAAAGCACATAAAAGGAATCAATGGCAGTTGCTTTTATTTTGTCAAATTTCAGCTTTGCTCCTTACTTTTTATCTTCTTACTGCTAGTGTGAAGAAACCATAGTGAGTGAAGAAACCACAGCTGACGTGAAGGCAGAGCTGAATGCCTCCCTCGCTATATACTTTTGGTAGTAGCACATGTCTGGCTCATCTGCCTAGTGTGGGCATTTGACAGCCTTGGGGGGCTCCTTAGTTTGATAGTTTCTTTTGGGTCCTTGGGAAGTTAAGTATTTTTCACTGATTCAGGGATGCTTCCACACAGGGAGATGAGCTGTTTTCAAAATTAGGAAGAAAGGGCACTGGGAATGCAGGAGAAGAATGCAGCAGTGACTGAAGCTATCCCGAGGTCATCTTGAATACACCCAACCTCAGACCAACAACATTTGCAGCATACAGGTAGGCTTTGCCCTGTATTGTCAGGGACTGGAGGGAGCAGGCATTTTTCAGGCAGCAGAGGCACTGGTTTACTCAGCCCTGGCCCCCTCCAGCTCCCTGATCCCCCCGTCTCCCCACACTGCAGCTTTCAAGTGTTACCTGTAGGCTTGCTAGGCTTTCCTCACTCTTCTACTATGGGCCTCTTAGAAATGGCCAACAGATTGCAGTCTGAAAGGTGTCCTGCTCCATCTTGTAGGGGGGCAGCACCGTTTTTAGGCTAGAGTATGAGCCAGACAGGAAAACGCACTTGCATCTCGCTATTTAACACAACTGTACAGTGGAATTAAGGAATTTATTTGAAGTTTCAGATCTAAGTCCTTATTTAGGAAAAGTCTTACTGCCATGAGTTTGATAAAAAGTTATTCCCTGATTCTTTAAACTAAAAGGATCGCTTAACTATGTCCAGATTTAGCCCCACTGATGGCTCAAGCTGGGTTGCCTTGGGCTTAGGTTGCTTTTTTTTTTTTTTTCTCATAGGATGCAAATGCTTCGGAGATACTCTTCTATGTCAATAAGCATTCTTGTTTTGAGCGTTCTCACATTCCTCCTACACTTCAAAATTTTGCAGCGCATTGTTTTGCGTGACCATGACCTGACCAAAGCACTGTGCCGATCCACCTCCATTGTTCCTCCGTGTGCCAGCCTCTGTGGTGCACGTGTGTGAGCAGAGGAAGGCAGATCCTGCTGCCTGCTTGTGGGAAAGTGTTCTTTTTTAAGAGAGGGTAAACACCGCCTAATTCAGCAAGAGATATTTTTACATTGGAAGCAAAGGAAAAGCAAAATAGGAAGCTTTCTTTTCTCCTGTTTTTTTTTTTTTGTTTGTTTGGAAGGCTACCGTTTGGAAACTTAGAGAGGACATCCAAGCTGGACCAGTCACTGCAGAAATTTGGGAGCAGCCAGGGGAGGAACGAGCTGCCCTGCTCCTAGAGCAGACAGTTGTGGGGTGAGCGGATCTTCCCAGTGCCCCAGGCCCACATCCATCTTTTCCAGCACTCGCAGCCAGTGCTGCTACTGAGACAGCAGCGCTAGGTTGGTTGGTGGTGGGTTAGGGAGGCGGAGGGTTGGGTTGGAAGCAGCACACTGGGTTTGGGCAGGTAAAGCAAGCAGGAGACAGCCACCATCCTGCGCAGCAGCAGCATCCTGGGACTGGTCAGTGCTGGATCAGAAAGGGAAGGGAAGGGAAGGAAAGGAAAAAGTTCACATCGCGTCCAAGGAGTGGAGCAGGTAGGACAATGTTCAGAGGGGTTGTAGGACTCCAGCGCTTCCTGTTTTCCTGTGGGCAGGAGCTGTGATTGTCACATTATTCAGCTTCTCATCCTGGGAGGAAGACAGTATCAGGCTGCGCCGGGGCAGCAGGATGTTTATGTGACAGACTGAGTCAAGGTACTGCTTTTAATACTCTCCGGAGCAGAGTCATTGGGGGAAATGTACATTTTAGATTATATTTGTTTTTTTTTTTTTTCTTCTTTTTTTTTTAAAAAAAAAGGAGTCATAAACATCCACAGTGCTTTGCAGCTGCCATGCAGGCCGCACAGCTAGCTGCCAGCACCGAGTGCCTTCTTTCTAAAGCTGCTACCCAAGAATTGTACAAGGTGCCGTGAAGTATTGTAATTTACTGAGGATTCACATGGTTAGTGAAGTTCAGTTAAGAAGCTTGGCTTAATTACTACATCAGCTGTTAAACTGGTCATTGTCTGCATCCACACAAGCACCACACCGTAGTAGGGAGGGGACTGAGATGGGACTGGGGTCACAGAAATTGTGAGGGGCTGGAAAATCCTGGATTTTCCCTCACAATTTCTTTCTCATTTATTTATGAAACAACTGTCACCCTGTCTGTTGTGTTCCTTAATATCATGATCCTGTGGGTGGGACTCTCGGTTGGGCATTGCTGTCAGCCTGGCATCTCTCTCCTTGTGTCAGAAGTCCTTTCCCTTTTTTGGGACTCACAGCTGGGATTACAGCTGCTGCTCCCCATTCAACATTTGGGCAGCTCCTGTTGCTCCGACACTGACCTTAGCCCAAATATTGGGTTCAGCTGTCTGTGACTGCTCTGGACTCATCCTAATGTATACCAGGATTTATGTGGGGAGCCAGGAGGCTGAGGCTGAAACACATGAGGGGTGTCTGAACATCCCAAAACTGGTGCAGGGGCAGGGGGCTGCAGCAAACCCTGGGGAATTGGTGTCATCTTAGCCCTGAGATGTCTGCCCATTGCTCCTGGCCTTTCCCATGGGAATAATGCCGGGTTGCTCGCTGATTTTTCTTGGTTGCTCGTTCAGCATCTTCTCCAATACTCGAAGATCTCTGCTGTTGGGGTGATTTTTAGGGAGAGGCAGGCAGGCAGGCTCGGGCTATCTCCACACCTGGCATTGCGGGATGTTATTGCTTATGGGTGAGTAACATTTCTAGGAACTTGGGAGAGTCTGGTCCCAACTGTCTCAATGCACCAGAAGTGGCAGGGGAAAACAGGTTTAAGATCTGTTTGGTTTATATTTTTTTTTTTCCCAGACAATAACCCACCAAATATTCCCAGGTTGTTTATATTTAGATAAGGCTGTGCAGTGTCCTGTGAAAGGAAAGTGACACATCTGCTGCTCTGGGGGCAAGGCAGCGTGGGACAAACAGACCTGACTGAAGCGAGGCACGGGGACAAGAAGTTGGTGCCCTGGATGCAGGAGGGTGCCTCAAACACAGAGGCCCTGTGCAGGGACACCCACCTGTCCAGGGCCAGGTCTGTGGGGTGGAGCCCCCTCACGTCTGTGCAGTGGGATGAAATCTCTGGATACACCCTCCCCTGCGTGCTGCCACACTCCTAGAGACCAAGTGCATACTTTAAATGTCTTTGTGGGAGCAGCCCGGTGTTGCTAGGTACGAGCAGGGAAGTTATAAAAACAACCCCACTGTTTGTGTTTTTTATTTTTATTTTTATTTTTTTTGTTGTTGCTCATAGATTAATTGCAGAGCTTTTTGCTTGACAAGGGATTGGTTATGAGGCAAGAAAAAGCTTCTAATTATTCTTCTAATTCTTCTTCATCTTCTTCCTCTTCCTCTTCTTCTTCTTCTGCTTCTTCTAATTCTGCTTCTTCATTTCCCATTGACCATTGCTCTCACCTAAAGCCTTGCAGCCGGCTTTGCCACTGGGAGCAAAGATGAAGAAGGTTCTGGAGAGGCCTGGTGGTGGAGACGAGGTGTTGGGCTCTGCCCCACACACACTGGCCCCTGGAGGAACGGCACACGTCGCTTCTTTTTGTTAAGGGTGGGCAAGCCAGGAGGGAACGGGAGGTGGTCGTGGAGCCTCCGTACCAAAACAGAATTTTTAGCAGCTGGGCAGTATGAGCTCCTCTCACTGCTGGGACTGATTTGGGAGTGCTGCCCCAGCCCTGGACCTTCAGGTTTAACTGGAGCACTGCAATGCCTCTGAAGACCTGGCCATGGGATAGTTTGGCCCCACAGGCTGATTGCTGCAGTACATTCCCACTCCCGTTTTCCCTCCAGGGCAGCCCCTTTGCGCAGAGCGATGTGGGTGCCCCGTGAAAGCTGCCAGTGCCGGCTGCACCCAAAAATACTCCTGCTCTGAAGGGGAGAGTTCGGTCCCAGCAGCTCAGCTCTGCCTTGGGTAAGGTGAGCACTGTGCAGGCACCGCCGGCTGTGGGCACTGCCACGAGAGAGAAGCAGCTGTGACAAACCTTACGTCTTGATTTTCATCTGATTCATAAAAGCAATGAAATTGCAGCTGTTTGATACATCAGCATTCTGGGGCAGACCCGAAAGTCTCTGTTTCACCATTTTGCGGAGAAGGGACCGGTTTCCATCAGCGTGAGACTTCCCACGGTTACAGGACACTTCCCCATCCTCTGAAGGGCCAAGGTTTTTCTGAGGTGGCTGATTCACATGAGAGAAACAGGATTAATTTTTTAAAGGAAAAAAAAATAATAAGAAGTTGTACACTTCTCAGGGAAAACTGTCAAAATCTTTATGTGCCATTAGGAAAGGCTTGCTGGGAATTGAGCAAACCAAAAGCTTTGTGTGTCTGATGGAAACAGTGGCAGTAGGGTGTGGGGAGTGGGCAGACGTGTCCTCCCTACATAGCACGTGCTGTCAGTGTGTGGGAGAGCAAAACCCACGTTGGTCCCATTTTACTGTGCTGCAGGAAAGCTCAGTGCCTGCTGTTGTGCCAAGCCGAGGTTCCCTGCACACTGCAGGGCTTTTATTTTTTATTATTATTTTTCCCAGAGTGTTTCCCAAAGCCCCAGAAGGGGATCCACCCTGCAGCAAGCTTTATTCACTGCACCTCCTCGGGCAGAAGCCCTGAAGCATGCACAGGAGGAGGGCCGATGCTCAGCCAAGCACTGATGCTCACCATCAGGTGGGGGCTGTTTTGGGCTGCACGCCCCGTCCTCTGCTTCTGCAGCACCCTGGAGTGGCTCCTCCTGCCCCCAAAGTGAGCTGCAGGCAAAAAAGGGAGGCAAAAACGTGGGGAGCAGGGGGCAGGAATGCATCTGTGGGGCTGTGGTGGCAGCAGCATACAGGAGCGTGGGGGCTGGCCGTGGAAGGGCTGGGAGGGATGACTTCTCCAGCTCTCTCATTTATCTCCTCCTTAGTGAGCCAGCTCAAAGGGCAGGACGCAACTCCAAGCCCGAGAAATTCCTTGTTTTCTTTTGTAAACACCTACCTGAGAAGGATGCAAAGCTTAATGCCACTTCTAAAAATATTCGGACAAAACAGGTTTTCTAAAACAGTTCTGGAAATGCTAAATTTGGTTGTTGTTTATCTGGGGGAGGGGGTCACATCTGCTTTATTATTTTTTCCCCTAAGGCAAAGCAGAAGCAGTGTCAGTACCGACCGCTGCTCATCCTTATCCTTTCTGCTGCTGCACTTTGAAGAGCCCATCAATAATCCTACGGGCAGCAGCTTTCCAGGGAGATGGCCCCACAGAAAAACAGGAATCCCTTATCGGAGGGCAGGAAATTCTATTTTTACACGGGAGTTCAGATTAAAAATAAAAAGGGAAGATCTGCACAGGACTCGCGGGCTAAAATTAAACCTTTATATTCTCCTCTCCCCTGCTGCTCTCCGTGTGGGGAAGGCAGCGATGCATGCCAAAAGGAGGCTGCTGGTGCTGGCTGCGCCTGGTGGGCTTTGCCCTGCTGCAGTTAGCACAGCTGAGCAGCAGGCTTTAGGCTTTATGAGCGTGCATTAATTAAAGCACCCTGAATCTCTGCTGGTGGCACCTTGCTCATTCTGCTGGGGAGCCGCCAGCTCCTTCCAGGCTTCCCTGCCTTGGCTCTGCAGAGCTGCACCGTGTCCCGAAGGCCTTTTTGCTCGGCTTGCAAAAAACAATTAGCACATACCCAGCGAAGTCACCCTGCACGGGGTGGCATCTCCTCGCTGATCACGCCGATGTTTTTTTATCCATGTGCGGTTTATGCACGTGTGTCATCTGCCGCCTGCCTGGGAAAGCCCCTTGCAGATGCAAATGGGAAGCAGGCAGGTTTCTGAGCTCAGCTGGGGGCTTTTCACGCTACCGGAGTTTCTGTGAGAGATGCTGTGACCCTGCTGGGGGCTTTAAACAGCAGAAAAGGGTTCTTGCTGATATCCCCTGCTGGCTTCATCAGCGCCCAGCCAGGAGCGTGTGCTCTGGGGCTTGCAGCGCAGCAGGTTACGCTGACACAGCCCCAAAAAGCAAGGAGTCACCGAATGTCAGAGAGAGGGATGCAGGAGGTGTTGGGCTAGGACAGCACGGGCAGCCTGGGGGTCTGCAGGCCCAGCAGCAGCTCCTGTGCTCCCCCGGTGCCACACAGTGCCCCTGCACAACACCAGCTCCCATTTCTTCCTTCTGAGAGGGAAAAAGCCAAAGCTGGTCTGAGTGTGAGGACCCAGAAGTGCTCTCCTGCAGCAAAGCTTTGCTCCGAGCCTTTGGCTCACAGCCTCCTTCAAGGCAGGGAAGCCCAGAACAAACAAAACAGCTCAGGGCAGCCTGAGGTAGCCAAATGGCCACCGGACAGAGGCCTGGCTTGCCAGGTGAGCGAGGGTTTGGGAACAGAACTGTTTCACCTGTGCTGCCCTGCCCCTACTTAGCACAATCACAGGAAGGTTGGAAAAGGGAGGAGGGTGCATTTTTTTTTTTCCTTCCCTCTATGGAGAGCCAGGTTGTGTGGAGGTATGAGCGCTAAGGTAAGATGGTTAACTGGGGGGAGGAATGATGATGATGAAGAGGAGGAGGAGAAGGTGTTTGGTGCTGTTTTTGGAAATACTTCACAGTCCCAGGCTGGAGTGGGCAGCTCAGCTTGTTGGTTGTGGTGCTTGCCATGCTGTTGTTTCTAGAAGTTAGCCCTTTATCACTAGCAGGTAGTGTGGCTGCCTTTCCACTTCCTTGGCCTTTTTAGTACCACTTTTTGAATTTTAATGCCACAACATCATTTTCTTCACCAGTCTTCTTACGCACTGAAGCAGGTATGCAGCAAGAGCTACTGCTGCCTTTGCTAGCCTCTGTGGGCAAGAAATTAAACTGTGCTGGGCAAACCCACGAGTGAATAACTGTGTGGTTCGCACACAGGTGAAAGTGAGTGTCTGAAAGCACGAGAAATGCAGGTGTGAGAGCTGTGCTGCATTGTGCAAGCACTCTGCGAGTACTCGCTTCGGTTCCTTGCTGTAAGATGGGGTGGGGAAACTTGATGTGAAGAAGCGATGCAAAACAGTGTCTCTTAAAAAAGAGCCCTGATCAGAAGGCTGCTGTTCCTCCAGGGGGGTGTAACCTATTTCAGTTTTCACACTTCAAAATTAGCTTGTTTGTGCGCTTAAAATTTTTGATTTGCAAAATGTTTCTTGGATGTTTTGCCTGCTTGAAATCAGTTTCACGGCTGTGCGGGCTGCTCCTGGCTCTAGAGAATTTGCTGGTTGTGCGTGTGGCTGGTTTCTGCCTCTGCTTTTCTGAGCGACAAGTTATGGGCTGGATGAAAAACAGCATTTTGAAAAAAGAGGAAAAAAAAACACTTTTACTTCCCTTTCTGGAGTGGGCTGAATTGCAAGTTGATTATTTTAATGAGAGGTGACTTTAGGGGATTAAGTGTTAAAACCTAATGCGTGAATCTGCTAATTGTAGGGGGAGGTACCTCTCATCAGTACTTAATGTTGAATAAAATGAGTGTAATGATTTTTTTCTTTTCTTTGAAGAAGAGATATTTGTGAGAACGTTTATCCAGAGGTGCTTGTGAGCATGTTGGAGCTGGATGACCTTCAAGGTCCCTTCTCTGATAAAACCTTTGGGTTGGGGTAGGGGCAGGGACTGAGTTCTCCAGCAGAAATCACTCAGGCAGGTCAGCATTTAGGAGGAAGGGTCCGACAGCAACGTGCTCCTGTCTGTGATGCAGCCCGTTAGGCACAGACCTGGTGTGGGACTTGTGTAAAAATACAGCACGGGAGAGGAGGGGGGTCAGGGAAGGACTGGCGGTGTGTGCAGAAGTCACCCAGTCACCCCTAAGCAGCGGTGGATGTGAGCCGTGCATCTCACCTGCTTCCCAAGTGGATGTGCTTGGGTTTTGGTTGTTGCTTTTGGAGTTGGTCTCTGCTTCGTGTTCAGCCATTATGCAACACAGCGTGTTCGGGGGAGGCCAAGTAAACTCTATCTGCTTGCCCTTCCTTTTACCAGAAGGTTGAGAGAGTTGATTTTTATTAAAAACCAACAGAACAGAAAAAGCTCCTGCCATCCTGAAACAAACCAGGAAGCTCTTATCAGCCTGCCAGGAAGGCCTGCTGCTTTGTGGAAGTGTTACTGGGCAGGCATTGCTGCCTTCATCGCTTGTTTGCAAAATAATTTATTGTTTTCAGATGGGTGTCAAATCTTCCATGCAAAGCAGGGAAGAGGCCCTAAAGCTGCGGAGGGTGGCTGTAGGAGAAGAGGGCTGAGGGGAAATACCATGGGACAGGATTTGGATTATCTCCCTACATATTTTTACAACGATAAGAATTTCATTGTATTCTGTTGTAAGTTATGATCCTGTTTTTGTTCCCTGCTCAGATCAGGAAACAACAAACCGATGTCTTAAAAATAATAAAAATAAAAATAAAGCCTAATCTTCGGTGACGCAGTCAGTCAGCAGCAGTAACCAAGGGATTCGGGATGATGTGTGATTTCTGAATCGTTACCCTATAAAATGCCGTGTGCTTTTATCCCCAGTGTGTGTGTGTCTCGGTGTGTGAAGCCACCCAGCTCTTACAACCTGTCGGAGGGGCACGGCTGCTGCTTTCATCCCCTGCTTCTGGTGTGCCAAGAAATATCGATTTTATTCCTCTCCCTTTTAAAATGGTAGCCATAAAACCAGAGCTCTGTGTAAGGAGGTGAGGATACCAGCGGTCAGTGCTTCTGGAAAATGGGGTGATTCCCAGTTCAAGCTCTGGTCAGGCCTCGCTGGAGCACTGACACGAGGCAGGGTGTAACAGCTGCACTCCTGTGTGAACCCATTATTCGCTCTGTGTGCGCGCTGATCTCTAACAAACCACCTGAAGAAACCTCCCCCAGCGTGCCCCGTGCTGCCCTGACCCCGGCAGCCAAACCAGGGCTCTGCTACCTGCCTGCAGCGAGGCGCCAGCGACCTGGGGATGGGAGCGGGGCTGCCTGCACGCGCCCTGGGCCATGGCCAGTGGTGTGTGGGGCCTGAGAGGTGTGTGGGGAGCATCTCCTCGGCTTCTGTCCCCAGCAGCCCTCCTGGAAGGAAGCGGTGAGAGGCCGTGGGTCTGCCTGTCGCTGTGAAATAGCAAGGCAGGCTCTCCGAAGGGGACTGCTGGAAATATTTGTTGCCTTAGATATCCCAAACAGGGCTGGGGTGGAGTTTGCCAGAAAGGACGATGTGTCCCCGTTTGTCACGTTCGCAGTTTACAATCTCCTGCTCCGCGTGGCTTGTTTCTCCCTCCCGTGGAGGAGATGCCCGTGCCTCCTGCGTTACACCAACCCCTCCTGGAAGCACGAGCAGCCTTCACGGGGCTCTGCTTCCAGCAGCCTGCTCACACACTGCACCCTGGCTGACTTCTAGCATCTTTCTTTCCTCCTACCACCTCATCCCACCTCCAGGTTGCTGCAGCTCCCCTCGTGCCTTTGGCGGCAGTTCCCAAAGGCTGGGGTTAGGAACAGCTCCTGCTGTGTTGTTTTTGGGGTCCTGCCAGGGGCTGGCTTTCTCTGAGGGACAAGAGGACAATGCTCCATCAATTCTGCCTGTCTCGGAGGGTCTCGCTGTTGTTTTTTCCCCCCAGCACAGGGTGGATAGGAGGCTGTACTTCCCCGCTTCCCTTGCGGGAGGAGGAGGGCAGAGCGGCCTGCGAAGAGGAATTGCTACGAGCAACCACAAACAAAGCCTGGAACGGCTCCTCTCAGGTTCTCCCAGGAGCTTTCAAATTCTGACCCGGGGCAGGGAAGCGCTGCCAAGACTGCGATGATATGGTGCTTGGAGCGAGGTGTGTCAATGATGAAGGGGGAGGGAAAAGCCTCGGCCTTGCCAATCCATAGGCCGCGGGGGGGGCTGTGCTCTGCTCTGTGCTGTCTGAGGCCTGAACGAGCATCCTCCCGAGCGTCCTCCCTCATGGACATGGGACTTTTAGGACTGAGAAAGTGCTGGAGCTGAAGGGCTGGGGCGATGGAACCAGCAGAGCCTGAAGGCAGGCCTCACTGCCTCAGCAGCTGCTGTTCCTGCGAGGTGCTTTCAGAGAGAGGCACCATGAGCGTCGCAGGGCTGCACAGACAGCTGCAGGCCTGCTGTGATGGTTATTGAGACCGTCAGAGGCCCGAGGACTGTGGTCCTGGACGCTTAAAGACACTGCATTACTTTGTTTTGTAGCCTTCTCTGAGGGCTGCAGTTGGCGAGATGAGGTGCGTATGGCTTTGTCAAGGGATGGCTGCTGGTGGTAGCACGTGCCCCCTGCCGCAGGCCTCGGCTGAGGAATGTGGGAACCAGGGAAAAAAAAAAAAAAGGTCCTTGTGTACAGCAGTGTTTGGTCCCTGGGAAGGACGCAGCCATTTTAGGGCATAATCTGAGCCGTGGTTTCTTGGAAGGCACGATGGCCATCGCCGTCCTCTTCCCATTTGGCAAAAAAATCCAAGGGAACTTTAAAGATAGTTGGATGTGAATGCTGGTGCTTATTTACCTGATGCAATCGGCTGCTTGTTCCATTTAAAACTCTCTCAATGCTTACAGTGTTTGTGCTCCCGAGCAGCGCAGGGAGCAGTGGAATGGGTGTGCCGTGCTGAATGTGAGCCATGCCTGCTGGGGCTTTCTTCCACATGGGCAGAGATGAATTGTTTCAAATTATGTTCATCCCACCTTAAATAGTGGCTTTGATACTTTGTCTGCGCTGCCTGAGGGATTTGGGAAGCTACCCAGTGATTGACTTGCCTGCGCTAGCTTTGAACTCATTAGTAGGTCAAGTTTCTAAACCGAGCCTTGTTCTCAGCCTGTGTAAGGAGAACAAAAACAGAAAGGTCCCTGAGCACAATGGAGGAAAGGGAAAAAAGATGCTACGCTGCGAAAAATCCACAATAGTAACGTGGATGTTGTAATCAAGCTGTTCCTCTCCTCAGCGCAGCTCTCCACAAGTGTCTCCAAGCACACACCTCTCAAGCTCTGAAGGATGTGAGGTCTTAAAAGCCTAAGAAGAGGTTAAATAGTTAATTGTGTCCCTTGATCTGTGTAAAGATGGAGTCACCTAAACCCTCTTCCTACAGCTGTCCCTATAGTAAGAGAAACGCTGAAATAATAGCAGAGGAGAAAGTTATCAATGAGGTGCTCTTAGATGAGTTTTGGAGAAGTTTTTCCCCAGTTTCCCCTGGGCATTGTTGGAACGATGTCAATCTACGTAAGACCAAATCGTCTGTAACTCTGTGTTCCCCAGCCAGAGGCTGTTATCATATGGACAAAACATTAAGGAGCAGCGAGAGCAAGTTAAAGAACAGTTTCCAGATTTAAATCTGAATTTCATTGTTGTACGAAAGTTTACCTCAGAACTTAAGATGATGGAAAAACTGATTCTGACCTTTTATGTTTGATTGCAAATCCCTCTGAACGCCAACGTGCTGGCCAAGTTCCAGCTCACAGAGGTAATGGTTCTTGTTAGACTACACCCCTCCTGAGGCTTTATTCAGTGAATGTAGTGTAATTACTGCCCTTCCCCTCATATACATGTGTATGGTTGCATAGTGCTGTTCAGCCAAACTCCGTCCACAGTGGAGATCTTCATTTTAATGAAGCCCATAGAGCATGCATGTTCAGATTTCTTTCTCTAAATCATTCCCAGAAAGGAACAGAAAGAGGGAAGAGCAGCTCTGCTTCCTACTGGAAGAATGGGTTTGTGCTGACCTTGTGAAAGTTCTGCCTGAGGACGGGCAGAGGGGGGTATGAGAGGATCAGAAGAGTGATCCCGGTGTGTTCACATGCTACAACTCCCTACCCACAGCCGTAAGCAAACACATAGGTTCCTCTGTACAACTTCCTGGGGAAACCTCGTTAAGTGGCTGAGAAATGCACCTAGAAAAAGGAAGCACTTCTGGGCACACGCAAACACTTTCGAGAGCGTGGTTCTGTGACCTGGCAAGAACCCCGCACAAGGCTGCACAAACAGCCCGGAGTCCTGGTGTGCTGAGGAAGTCATCATCTTTCCCACGTGTGTGGTGATCAGTGTGAGCCATTTATAACAGTTACCCTAATAGTCACAACTCCAAGTATGAGAAAGGGGGTGGGGAGTGATGGCAGCTGCAGCTGCTGGCTGTGGAGATGGGCACAGAAAAATGTGCACCTATTAATGAGCATACTATAGGCTCCTATTTTTTTTTTTTTACTATTATTTTTTGTATAGAGAATCTTGTGATACTTGAGTTACTTTTTACTTCCTAAAGCACTTAATAGGATCGAAATCTTCTGTATGAACTTGTCTGAGTATGGAGGACTGTATGTAAATGGCATCTCTGGAAACAGCATCTACAGTTGCTGTCCTGCTCCCTCCGCTTTGAGAGATGTCTCGTGCATTGTTGCTGACCCACAAAGCAGTAATATTGAGTAACTGTCACTGAAACGCTTCTGGTTTTGTCCTCTGAGATGACGAGGGAAGTTCCACTCTGACAGTGCTGAGTGGGTTTTGAACACGTGCTGGAAGAAACCCCCCTGCACAGTGCTGCGGTCTCGGTTTGTGCACTTGACCTGAGCTGTCGGAGTTCCAGCGTTCGCTGATGTGCACACAGTGCTTAAACTGGGGCCATTGGGTGGGCGAAATGGATTGAGAAGACAGTCTGCTGATTTCTCTCTAAACCTTTGTTTGTTGCCTTGTGCTCTCCACCCTACGATTTCCTCCCTCTCATCCTGTACAAATGCTGAATGGAAACTCTGCTCACACCCTCTTTTTCCAAGTGCTTTCCCAGGACTATTCCAAGTGCTCTCACTCACCCAGTTCATCTCCCTGTCCTGCTTGGGGGATAATGACCACCACAACAAACGTGTAAAGAAAGTGTGATGAAGACAGAAGTAAAATTAAAACTAGCAAGATTTAAGACCAAAAAATATATATATATTTTGTGTTCATTCTAGATCTTGATGAATCTGTAGCATTTTCATCTGTGACTGGCAGGAGGAAACTCAGTACATTCCTTTTCCTACCAAAGTACACGTACTTGTTTAGATGTTACCTCTCCACTTCTGTTGAACAAGGTGAACCTTGGGTACAGTTCGACCAGCTACAGCAAGTACAACCCATGCTTGTAAGCAGACTGCCAGAAAAGGAGATGTCTGCAGATGCTAGCCAACCATTCAGCACTGCACACCAGGCCAGCAGGGCAAATCTGTACACGCATGTTTGGGAATGTGCTAAACTCACTTTGTTGCACGCAGAAGTCAATTTTGTCTTTTCAGCTGTATTTAATTTTGTTCTGTAAAGAAATAGACAGATCTGGCCTTTCTTTTTAATAATGTTTTAGGATCAGGGTACAAAAACGGTTAATGTATTAATTTTTAAGACAAGTGATAAATGTAATGCAGTAAGCACATCCTACATACACAATATATTTCTCTATATAATATGAACACAGATATAAAATAAGTTATACTTGTATTGTTTTTTTCATCACAGTAGGAGCTCAGCTTATATAAAGTGACAACAGGAATTGGAACAAAATGCTGCTTTAAAGCAACAAAAAACAGAAGTGTCCGTGCAGGGGTGTGTGAAACAAAGTAGGAAATCTAGGTATTTCTGTCAAAATGGGGTCTTGAAAAGAGAAATTTTATAGAGCATTCAAGAGACAGGGAAGGTCTCTTGGCTCAGGGTAGAGGTTCTGAAGGGAATAAAGTGTTACTGTGTGGTGAGGAGGAAGGTAGATGAAGGCTGTTGACATCTAGGTTAGATTTGTGGGGACACAGGTAGCAAAGCATGCTCTGCCCACTGTGTTGTCTGCTCTCATGACGAACCATCTACCCAACAGTGCTGTGTTCTGTGTTCTCATCTTTACAGTAAGATTGGGACCCAGTAGCTTTCACTGCGCACAATGAGTAACCATCACTTCACAGGAATGATGAACACCACCCTTGTTCAAAGGCTTTTGAAGGAGAAAACACTATCCTCTTGTGAAACAATCAGTGAGCCTGGGGGTAGAGTCCTGAGTTTCTCCCCTTCCAGCCCACCTGATGTCTGACTCTAGTATATTCTCCTTCCATTTCACTCAGGGTGGTTGTTCTCTCAGCTGTACTTTGACAATAAATCACCACCAGGGAATGGATGAGAGGTGCAGGTGCTTGGGAATTCCTAGTGCCTGTCCCACAGTAAATAATGAAGAACTCAAGATGTCCAATTGAGAGCCATTTCAGATTGCTTTATTTTTTTTTAAGGACAGGGAAATGCTTGTAGAACTTGTATCTGACAGTGAACTGGATTCCTAAAATTCTTAACTCAGGGATTCGGAATTTGGAATTTCTTATTAATTAGGAGGTACTCCTTAGTCTGGCCAACAGCTTGGAGACCTTTTTGTGGTTTCTTCTTTGCTATCAAGGATCTGTCTCATTAGGTTTGCAAGACCGATAAACAGCACAATGTGCAGTCAAAGCTCAGGAGTGACACTGGTGGTTAGCAGATTTCTATTAGTGCCAATTCCACTCTCAAAAGATGCAGCCCACTTGAGGTTTTCTTTCTGTCCTGCTTACCAGGTTATCCTAGCCTCAGTGTCCTTTCTTCACCTTCATGTTTACAGACTACACATTAGAAAGCAGGGACATTACACTGGAAGAGTGAATTGCATATCATTATGAAGAATGATTGGACTTTTTTTGTTCTGCTTTAGTTTTTTCGTCATACAGCAGAATAGGTATAAATTGAAAGGTGACCTCACATCTAAAGGTATAATTTAAGTAAACATGTTTTTCTAGATCTTTCTCCCCTCCCTTCCCCTCTCCCTTGCAACCCTCCTTTCATTCTGTTATTTTCCTTTTGGATGGAGGGAGGAGATGGGAAGGTAGCTCGTTTGGCAGCTCATGACCCTCCAACTTGACTTTAATGAGATGATTTGCCAAGGCAAACTCCTCATCATCCAGCATGCCATCTTTGTCAATGTCAGCCAGTTTCCAGATCTTTCCCAGCACTGTGTTGGGCAGCTTAGACCTTACCATCTCCTTCTTTGCATTGGCACCAGTTATTTTGCCATCAACGGGTGAGAGCGTATAGAAGATCTCATCATACATGGGCTTGTCCCTGGCCACCACCCACTCAGCATCATCAATCCCTTCGCCAGCGCCTTCGCCGTAGCCATGGCCAAAGGGGCCATGTAGTGTGCCCTCGAAGGCTCCTCCCTTCACCATCTGGGTGGGTCGCTGGGACTCCTCCTGGCGTACAAGCACCATGAGCTGCGCGATGTCGTTGGCCAGCATGTCCTCCACGGTCTCCAGCAGCTTGCTCTTCAGAGGCTGGAACTTGCTGAAGTCTTGGGCCTGCAACTGATCCTTGAAGTGGGACAGGGGAGCAAGAGGTGAGTGACACGGTTGTGCACAGGGCAGTAACAGCACAGCGTCGGCTCTGTTTGGCTTAAAAAAACTACTGCAGAGGAGGAGTGGGGAGCACAGCACTCTCCTCCGACAGCCCTGTTCCTCAGCATGCAATAGGGTTTCCCTGGCTGGCCGTGCTCTCACATATTCTTTAAGTCCTGCAGAGAACAATCTCCCCTGCTCACAAAGTGGGGCTGGCATGGCACAGAGAAGGGAAGTGATTTACTCCGATTTACTCCAAGACCTGGATGTTGGCCATATGCGAGTAAGACTTCCTTTCTAGGCCATGTACAAGTGTTCGTGAGGACCAAATTGTTCAAAGCAAGCTGGTTGTGCAGCTCTTGCTGCACCTTCTAACTGGTGCTCTGCGCTCTGGTAAAGAAGTGCCACTTTGGCAACAGACTGTTTTGCAGGTAAATCCCTTGCTATCATGCAGTGCATCTTTCAGATGCCATAAAGACAGTAGAACTTCACAGAATAACTCATTTTTTTGTGTTTTTTCACGGCTAAGCAAAAGTGGTTTGAGCAGGGACTTGCAAAAAATTCTCTTCTAAGAGCTGTAAAACAACCTACAACTTTATCCTTCACCCTACCCATTAAATCCAGTCTATTCACTCCTTATGGAGTGGTGTAATTATTTTTTAATATTTAATCACATTTTAACAAGCAGTGAATGGGATTTTCTGTTGGATACACTCCACAGATCTCATTCCAAAGAACTTAGGTGAAATACATTTTTATTAAAGATGAGCAACTGCTGTGTTTCCATAGGAGCTTGTAACAACTTCAACAGCTAGTAACTGCAACGAGGCTTCTGCTTGGACTGAAGCCATAGAGCAATGTAGCCTTGCCCAGCATTGTTCCAGTATACAATATGAGGCCCTGATCCAAGGTCCTCTAAAGTCTTTGACTTTGTATGAACACTGAATCAGGCCTCAGCTTTGCAGCTCAGAAAAACTGCTTCTCTGCCTAAAATAGACAGGGAGCTTTAAGTTTTCACTGCTTCCTTCATCCCCAAGTCTTTCTAGAAACAGAGTGAAGTAGAGGACAAAAAGATACAGCTCCTGAGGAGACGCATGTATATAGGCTTCTGGGAAATGTATCTTTTTATTTAATATAGATTAGCAGTATCCTTAGGTCTAGAAAATCTGAAAATGAAGCCTGGACTTAAAGAAAAAGAGGAAATCATTTGTTGTCAAATGCTGTTTAGGCAAAGACTTGAGAAACGAAGGCAGCTGTAGCTTCGTCTGAGCTCTGTGTGCAAAAAATGTTTACATGTATGCCTAAACATGGCCTGCACACAGTTCAAGGCTCACCCCAAGATTACAACAGGCCTTTCGCACAGACAATGATAATAAACGTCTGTACTGTGGCTTCTGTCATATTCCCTGCAGTTATTCTTTCCTTGTATGTTTGTGCTCTGGACAAGACACCACCACTTACCTGCATCTTTCTCAGGTTAGGAAAGTCTCCTGGTGAGATCTGATGTTCCCGTTCAATGCGGGCATAAATATCTCCCAAGTTGTTAACAAGCTCTTTCTTTTTATTGTCTTTCCCAAACACGGAGGGCATTTCCTTCTTTAGAGAGCTGATGATGTAGGCATGGACCTGAAGGGCATTACAGGATATGGAATGAAAAAGACAAGTGCTAAAGAACACATCATGGTTTTCCCAACAGACAGCACCTGTGCGTAGGAGTCAACCCATCTTGTCCCATCCTGAGGAGCAAGCTTAGCTCCTCAGCTCGCCTCTATCTGCTGATTATCACTCTAGTGCTAAGTGCTGCTCAGCTGCGTCCAAACGTACAGACTCTAGAACTCCAGATTTTGTTTAATGTAGGAATGAGCCTTTGACTTACAAGACACTACGCTATTGAGTACTCTGTACAAGGACTGTACAGAGCCGGAACAACCATTTTCATAAAGATCAGTTTATATTATACTTCCTGTTAGCACTGGTGATTCTGGAAGGCAGAATCTATTCTAGTATCCCCAGCAGAAGTGACTGATGGCAGTGAATTTCGTATGCAGTATTGTGACACCTCTTTATTTTGTGGATGCGGGGGTGAGGGAAGCTTTTTCTCTTCTATAGAAAGCTTTCGGGCATCTTTCATCTTTCAGGCTCTCTTTTCTCAGTTGATATGGGTCTGCTCCCTGTGCTCTGGAGAGCTTAACTCAGCTCAATTTAAATAATCAGAAATGCAATTTCTGGCAGCGCCCTTGATATATATATATACTTGTGTGTGTGTGTATATATATATATATATATATATATATATATTTCATGTTCATGGCAGGCTTATCTGCCATTCTTGTCACTCTCTGCATCCATCTAGGTTTCTCTCTTTAAGGCAAAAGACCTCCAGACTCTTACTTCCCTTGGTGTGTGATTCTGACACATGGAATTGGTTTTAATTCTGAAGTTGCTAGCACAGTGCAGCTGCTTTCTATATCCCCTCAAGTGCTACCTTCTTTGATCTGTGAGCAACTCTTCACTCAGGCCTTTTATGACTGCTGCACCAAGCAAAGGAGGTACATTCTTTCTTGAAGTGCATAGGACAAACACACTAGGCCTCTGAGTGAAATAAGAAGGGGAAGAAGAGAAGTAGGATCCACTGGCTATGCAAGCTAGAGCAGCCAAAACCACTTTCCCATGCCCTGCATGCTGTGGATGGCCCATGCTGAGTGCCTGGGCTCTCCTGTACCCACCTTGGCCAGCCGTGCCCGCTTGATGAGGTCGTTCAGCTTCCTTAGGGCTGCATTGCGGGGAAGGCTCTGGATATCCCTGAACAGGTCCTGCTCCTCTGCTTCAAACAGCTTTCGGTTGTCAGGGATGAGCAATGGATGGGACCAGAAGGAGCCAATGTAGACCCTGATGACCTCAGGAGTGTTGACAATCTTTCCCAGGGACCACATAAGGGCACCGTACACCCTCATCAACTGCTGGGTCTCTATTTGGTCAGCTTTGTTGAGAACAACTCTCATCTTGTCCTCGTGGTTCTTCAGGGCCTTGATGACCTCAGAGAATTCATCTGAGATGTCCAGCTTGTGCGCATCAAAAAGAAGAATGATGCGGTCGACCCGCTCTGCAAACCACTCCAGGACAGCAGCAAAGTCATAACCTACAAGGGGTGGAGGAAGAGCAGAGAGACACACGCACAGGTGTAGAGAAGGCTGGTGGTCATACCTGCATCATGCAGTCTGAGGGTAAGCTTGCAAAGAAAAAGCTTTCCCCCGGCAGCTCAAGTAGCTTGATAAAGTGAACAAGAAACCTAATTCTTTGCCACAAAGAGGGTCGAGAGGGAAGTGCTCTTCATTATGAAACATCTAAGACTTGCACATTTAAGAAAGGTTCTCATCTTCTCCAGATTAAGAGATCACCCAGGAAGTCCTGAACTCATGCTACAAATGCTTCGTTCAAACGTACATCTTAGCAGTTTGCCTATGTTCAAACAGCTACTGCAGAAGTCTTGCACATAACAAGACAGGGACGTCTCATTTCTGAATTACTGGCCATCAGCAAAGCCTACAAATGCAGCAGAAAGCTAGATAATTAGTATTTGCACCCAGACTGGTTTGAGATTTGTATCTCTACTGTTTAATAACACTCAGGTCTAGTCTAGTTGTGTGAGACTGTCCCATGCAATTCAAAGCCCAGGATGCAAATCACCTGCCATAGCTGAGTAATCATCCTCTCACATCTGCTGCATGTGCACGAAGCAAAATGAATTGTTTGCTTTGCTAAGTACTTGCTACTTAGGCAGCATTGCCATGAACAGCAGAGGTGGACTCCAACTAAACACACTAGTTTCAAATTTCATTACTTCAGAACTAAGGATAAAGGCATGATAAAATAATGTATGTTTTAAAAATGTCAGCAACAAAATAACCCTTTTTTCCTAGCTCTGTCGTGTTTCTTCATCTTTTTTAAAGCCTCATCATGAGATTGGTGCTCCCTCTCTTCTCTGTAAGGCTCTCCTGTGCTGTGCAAGGCTTGGGGTTATCTGTGTTGCCAGAGTGCTGTCCTCAATAAAACACCTGTACTGGTTCTGCTTTGCAACACAGCTTTTTTCCTGGTGGGCAGGAATCATCAGGACAGATCACGTGCTATTTGCATTCAAATCCTTGAACATACTTTTTTCGTCTTAGCTTTCATGAATTAATGTGTGAGAATTAATTCACTGCCTTCCCCTTCCCTGTTTTTCCCCCTTTACCCTCTCATCTTTCCTAAAGCACAAGTGATGCATCCTGCTCTTTAGGTGAGGGCTATGGAAGGGAGGACTGCAGAGCTCTGATCTTGATTTTTGCCTTTTCCATCTTATGACTTTAAGCAAACCCTGGCTCTGAAGTCAGGAGCAAAGCCCATGTGAACCTTTCTCTTCAGATACATAAATTCATGTTAGCTGTTTGCTACTAAGAACTTCTTTACGTGCTAGGTACTATTACTGGGCTGTTTTGTCTCGGTTATAGTTTGCTCATAACAAACAAACAAAGGGGTGAGAGGAGACAAATGTGCTCTAGAATTTAAACAGCTTGCCCTGCTTTCTTCTGTGCTGTGTGATTTCTTCCTGCTCTGTGATTTCTACAGAAAATCACAGAGCAGGAGGCCCCTGGCCTGTCACTCCATTACCGTGCGGTGGTGTCTTTTCCAGCAGCAACAAGTGATACTGGTCCCCAGCTCTTCACTCACCTCACACTTGATGCTGAGAGCTTCAGATAATTCAGCTAATATTACCTTTATGGGAGACCTACTCAACACTCAATAAATTATGTTTTATATCCTGTCCAGTCCATGTGTCTGATCTCACACGTTCTCATGAATCAGACCTTATAGTTGAAATAAAGGTGGTTCTGCTTGCTTTCAGATCTCAGCAGTCTTTTAACCTTAGATATTTTGCCTGTAAGGAGCTCATCTCCGTGGGTCTAACTGCATAGCTGTTTTAAAGCTATCCTTATTTCTTTTCTAAATTGCACTAGGCCACATTGGCAGCAGAACAGCATCAATACCAACACCTTATCTCACTTGGACTTGATTCAGGCTCTAAGTTCTCCCTCTGAGGAGATCAATGGATTTGCAACGGGGGGAAAAAACACTAACTTTGCTAAACGTTGGATGCACATCTATACCTAATGGTCAGTTTGGCTTGGGCTGTGCTGGAAATTAGTGGCAGGATAGCTTATTCTGCATATGCAGCCATCCAGCTTGCTCTTTCACCACAGAAACAATTAGTGTGTCTTTGTTCAGAGAAGTTGGTGCATTTAATCTGATGAAGTCTCCTTGACAGGGATGCTTTTTGTCAAGCTGGCATGTGTTTGAATTGCACCATGACTGCTTCTCCTAGCCTTTCCTTGGAAGATCAAAGGAGAAACTGAGTCATACTCTCTTGGGCACCTAGTGATGTTACAGTGATGTCCTGTCTCGGGTCAACATGGATGGCTTCTCTCCACCAAGAGTAAAAACTGCTGCTCTTCTGGGTGTTTAGCAGGGGCTGGGATGAGGTGGGGAAGGAGTCTGCACCTGACTCTCAGCACAGCTTTCAGTGATTCAGTAAAGGTAGGGAGCCCTCTGAAAAGAGGGAAGAAAAAGAAGTGGCATTGTAGTTCTGGTATTAGCTGAGGTCTGCCCATTGATCTGCCTGGTTCTTGGGATTTGTCTAAAAGGATCTTTAGGCACTTAGCTCCAGTGATCTGCTGACATCAAAATGTGTCAAGCCAAGATCTGCAGCAGCACTTCAGGCATCCGCTCTCTGAGTCTCTATTTCCTATCCACAGACAAAAATGTTGCTCTACCCAAGAGGAAAAGGAAATTAATATCTGCTGGGATCTTCGTATGTTCCTAGCTGCTACAGTAACATACAATGTGTGTAGAATGTCCTTGTAGGCTTCATCAAATGTCTAGACGGATAGGCAGAGCACCTTTCTTTCCCAGCTTATTTGTGAGTTTAGAGATCATCTACTGACTGCTGTCCTGCACATCTCTATTAAGACAGAACAAAGCCCTCAGAAGTAGCAAATGTTGGTGTTTCAGAGCAGTCACAATAGCATGGGCTGGCTTACATCCTGTGCTGGGACAGAAACCTTATCCCCAGACACTCCTTGCATGTGTCCCACTTTTGGCACTTACGGGAATGTGTGAGGCCTTTCCTCTTGGTGCTAAGCAAGAAACTTCTCTCTGTGTGCAACTCTACTTACATGTAGTCTGACAAGAGGGAAGGGCAGGCGGGACGGACCTGTGTTTACAACCATCTACTTGGAGTCAACTCTCAGAGCTCTGTGATGGTATTTTCCCACACAGACAGCTGCCTAGGGAATTCCCACATGGGAAATTTGTAGGGCTGACTTTCTTGTTTTGCTTTTAGCATATAAAAGAACAGATTTGGAGCAGAGAAGCATTTGGATAGCAGGGAGACTGGGTATAAAACTCTAAGGGGAAGCAAGCTCTTAGTGAAGATATTTTAAAATAAAGTTAAACTAATATTTTAATGTTTAGTTCAGAGGACTTCTCTATAGCATGGAGAACTCAGGACGTTTTGCCTGGCTGAAACCAGAGCTGGAACACCTGAAAACGCAAGGCTTGTCCTGTAACTAAATTTAAGCATTATAGCCTCACTTCATATTATTTTGTCCAATTTTTATGTTGCAGATTCATAGGGCCTGACTCTACATTCTTCTAGCAGTTTATTTCAGTGTGAGGTTAGATCAAGAACTCATCTTGACCTACTGTCAAATTAGGAGTTTTCTGTCTGGAGTGTCCCTCTTGATTCGCAAAGTTGAGTTAATAACTCTGCGGATGCGTTATGTTTTTTTATGCCCTATCTCAGTGTTGTAGAGCGTTGCTAAGGCCTCTCACAAAGGCAGCCAGATTTGGCAGTGTGTCACTGATGGGCGAAGCTATCCACATACCACAGCAGTTTATTGTGAAGTTAAATGGCATTTGGGAAGCCAACTGCTTGCCAAAGTTGCATAAATGCAGAAGAATTATTACAGGGATGTTCACACAAAATGTGAAGGGGAAAATTTTCTCTTCAGTAATTCCTGGTTGTTTGTGGTTACACTTCTGCTGTTGAAAACCAGACCTATTTAAACATGCCTTAATATCGCTGATGTGGATTGTTTCACAACCTCCAGAGAAGGCTGTGAAGGAAGAACACATAAGGACATGAACAGAAAATGAATCCCATCTATGCAGTGCTAGAAGAAATGGGCAAGATGAGCGTACCACTTCCTTCCATCAGATATTCTTTCACGGGGGTAGATTTCATTTTGGCAGCATGAGAAGGAATCAACAGATTTAACACAAAGCTGACAAGTCAGATGACTGCCAGTAGATTCATCCTGTAGAGGAAACGATTTTCTTGCAGACACCCTGACACCTAGACGCTGCAAGGCAGACTGTGGCTTTATGAATACTTGTCTGTGCACTGCTGGAATACCTGGCAGCAAGTATTTAACTAAGATACGGCAGGATTATGCAATTACTTTTCTGTCAAGTCAGACAAAGAATGACACAGTCTTTACGTTGACTCTGTGCAGACAAATGATACCAGACCCAGCATCAAACCTGCCTGCCTGTAACATTTTAAAGCCATTTAAACCAGCAATGAGTGCTCATGTAGTAGCTCGGCATTGCTTTTGCCTGATGGTAAGCACACCACTGAATTGCCTGTCTTGTGGAACTATGGGCACAGACCCTGTGGTGGAGGTCAGGTGGGATGGAAGGAGGAAAGTAAGATGAAGAAATGCTGAAAAACACAAAGCTGCTTTTTAAAACTGTGCCACTGCTTTTAGCAACTTACCTCATTCCTGGTGAATTTAGTCCCTGGGAGCTCCCTTCGTACTATCCACCTAAATCTGGTGTGTTCCAGAGACTGAATCCCACTAGATCACAGCCCTCAAGACAATGTGATGGCCAGAGGGAGGAAATAAAGGGAGGAAAGGAGGAGGAAGTGCTACACGAAGTGAGTAGGACACACAAAGTGAGTGGGAAGCAAGGCAGGGGTGGCTGTTGTGAGGCTCAGGGAGGGATGGTACAGATGTGGGTGACAGAAACCGAAGCAGGGGAGAGTAGAGAACAGGGATTTGGTTTCTGTCAAGGTGAGGAGCTGGTGAAACCAGCAAGGAA